TAGAAACTTTGTCACTTTACTATTGCGTTTTTCAACTCCTACATGTACACCTTCCAGCCACTGAAGTCTCACAAAACATTTTTTGCCTATCTTTTCTCCTAGGAGCTTAACTTACATTTTCTTTCCTGGTAATGATCTCCTCTGTATCCACTATAGTGAAAAATAATGCAAAAGAAATTATTTAATCTCTCTAATGCCCATATCCTCCAAAATTTGTTTCTACGGTCATAGACTATATCCCCACTGAATTAATAAATTAATCTATCAATAGCATATTTAAGGAAAACTGATTTCCTGTGGCATCCCCGCATGTCTCCCTGGCCAATAACCACATCATTCACAAGTCTGCTACCTATGATAACTTCAAGATCTTTCCTCCCTATGTCCCCCTAACTTACAAGCAAGAAGCAGCACATGTTGCAGCTAGTTCCAAATGAGAAACCTGTTCACTGCTAATTAATATATGCATTCTGACTGGCTAGACAGCAGTCCAAACAGAACAGGTATGTTGAACTCTACTTGATTTTAGCCCTTGACTGAAACACTCTCATGGGCCTTGCACGTCTACACACTTCACATTTTTCATGAAACAGGTAAGAACGTGCTACCGTCAAGACTAATTTAGCTGAAATTTGGGGAATTTGGACAGGTGTTTTCTCTTTCTTACTTATTTTCTTATGAGCTTTTGAGCTCAGATACCTCCTTATTATCCTACTCAGCCATGAACTTGTCAGGTTAATGCTGGATGCTCAAAGGCACACATTTTCCATAGAGATTTCTGTGTTGCTTGCTCCCAAACATATTAGGTAGTTAACCAGAGGAACACCTTGTTATTTTTGGATACTGTGGAGTACTATAGTTAGGATGGCGAGTACTGCAAAAATCAGGCAGTTTGTCATAACCTCAAAATCAGCTTTATTATTAGATCTTATGTAATCACAAAAACATTGTAAATCTGTGGGTTTAAGTAAATAAAATGGAATAAAATTCCTCAGAAGTAAAAACTAACATTCATTGTTAAGAGCTATATTTAACAATGAAGATTCTCCCTAGCAGCTTCACTGTATTTATTAATTTGTAATGCTGAGTATTTACCTTCCATAACCTGAGATTGTCATACTCCAGTGTGTCCTTAAGGCAACATCTTTCCTGCACTTCCCAATAAAGAAGTTATAGAAGTTACCCAAACAGCTGCTCCTTTTCTAGTCCAAGACAGAATAACACTGCTCCTCTTTTCTCTCTATTCATATCTCTCTCATTCCTGCAACTGGGCAGCAAGGCATCATACAGGGGATTAAGTAATGCTTCCTATGTATTCTAGATCAATATTTCTATTGTATACCACTGTGAAGGCACCCTTGTTTTCTCCATGTTGCAAGCATGAAGATACACTGATGAAATTTTAGATGATATAATGAAAAATATTTTTCAAAAATACAGATTAATGAAAAGCATAATGTTCTCACACACTTTGTAAGACAGTCTGTGAGGACCAAAACCTGTGTACAAGGGAATGAAACAGCACATCAGTAGAGGCTTTACTTTCCTACCATCTCCACCTCCCATGTTAAAAGAACTGTTCACTTCACGATTATCACTGTGAAGTTCCCATCTGGCGTTTCAGAAGTGAACGGAGAGGACTGACAAGACAGAAAACTGATGTAATCACAAAAAATGTCTAGAAATGCATAGGAAAGTAGTGACCTGTTTAACTAAATCACCCTCATACAAGCCTTATCTCTAACCTTCTCTCACCTTTCAAACCCTTACTTCTCCTGTCAAAAGCCACCAAGATCACATAACCCAGAGTCCCCAAACACTCCCATGCCAAGTCTTTCTCCCTTTCAACCCATACCAATGGTCTTTGACTTCTCACTTCTCTCCAGCTGTTTACTAAATCTCTCCCACATGTTTCTCTCTCTTCTGCCCCTATTTTCCCCCCTCCTGGTTCAGACCAAATCCTAGTCTGTCGAAATCTATAACCACACAGCGCTCCCATATAGCTTCACCAATATCTACCCTTCTGCAAATCACTTTCCAAACAGCAAGCCTACTCTGTAATGCCTGCACTTCTATTCATTCAATCCCCCTGCTTCAAATCCACATCCATACCTAGTGGCTCAATGCCAGGTGTCCTGGTTCCAGGTCCCTCAACAATGAGCCCAACCCTTGCTTGGCTCTTCCTGTTTTGCCTGTACAGGCACTTGGTGCCATACTATTATGCTTTTATTGCATGCTGGTACCTTTTGTTGCCCTTCATTGTAAAGGCAGCCTTGCCTTCCCACAGAACTAAACCCCTTGGTCCTTGTTGCAAGACAGGCTTTAAAAGCCAGGCCGGATCAAAAATATAATCCAAATGAGTCTTAGATGACAGAAGAGTAGAAAGTGTCCAGGAAAAAAAAGAAAAGCACAAGTAGTAGCCATGTGCTTTAGCTATGTTCCTTTGGGCCTTGCAGTTACATCTGAACCTTCCAAAACATCACTGTTTCAGGTATGATTAAAATAATATTCTCAGCTTAGAAATTACTATGTGTCATAAATTCAGTACTGAAGAATCATATTGCCTTAAAAGAAAAACTGTCCTCAACTAAACCATCCAAATTTTCATGCTAAGCAAGCTTCAGATTTCATCTCTCCAAATCCCTCCAAAGGGATTATTGCAGAAACATAGCCTGGAGAATCACAGCACAGAGCAGATGCCTAGAACTGAATGGATGCAGGCGCGGGAAGGAAATTCATTGTCAGATAGAGCTCCAGCTCTAAACTTTTCATTGACTTGTGAATCCCTTTCTACATGGATCTTTCTCATGATGACAGAAGACCACTAAGACATAACCCAACCCATGTTTCTCTGTTTCACAACAGAAACAAAGCCTATACAAACACTGTGTAGCTGAATACAAAAATATATCAAGGTGACTCAGAAAATCTATGTTGTCTGCTAGGAGCTAAGGTCTTTACTGTTTGCTTGTCACAAAGAAGGGAATTAGCACCTTCATTCTCCTTCTATACATTTCCCACCTATTCTGGGAGAAAGTATCTTGGGAGAACCTGGAAGCAAAAAGCAATGCAGACACATTTACCACAAGCAACACATTTCCAGAGCTACCATTGCACTTCATAGCTACTTTCAGACTTGAGTATACCTACACTGATTGACTGACTGGTGGCTAAACAGGTTTCAACCTCCACCACCTACAGTTACCAGAGTACATTCCTTTGTCACCCAACACAGCTGTGCTCCGGAAGCTATACAGCCCTTCCCATGTAGATCTTTGTGAATTCCTCTCTCGATTCCGCCTTCTGTAATTCCTAATTTAACTAGCAGTAACTAGCTATAGTAGGAATCTAGAAGTTTAAAAATCATCTAATAGCTATATAAATAGCAGCAAGAGGACAACTTGGGTTCTCTAGACAGACCTTAGAAACCACAGCAGTTGGAGCCAAGTGGGAAATTAGTGGCTTTAGGGAGAAAGTCTATGAATTTATTTTTAAAAGTTCTTTTCTGAAAAGACTGAAATGAAATAGATACATTTAAATTTTTTCCCAAATATTTGTTTAGATACTAATTTTTATCCAAGGAGGCAATTACCATCATATATTCAGCTTTCAACAAATCAGCATTTCCTGAATGAAAATGTTTCACTATCAAATTTTTTGAACAGTTTTACTGACAAAGTTTAGCTTAAAAAGCTGAATTCTGATTTCATTAAGAGAACCAGACTGACAGCTCTGAATATTACTGGACAAGCAAACAAGCTTCTCCTGATGTTCCCCATACCACTTCAGTCTTTGAAAGATCAAATTCTTTAAGTAGGGTCTGGCCTGATGCAAGATCAGGCCTCAGAATCACTGGTATATTCAGTGCTCACATTCTCTTCTGAGTTCATCACTAGGAAGGTGCCTTGTTTTTGTGACTTATCCTTTAAAGCTCAAGATCTATCTATCTGCAAAGACCAGAGTTGCCTGTGTTAGTTCTGGAACTGCCCAGGGTGAATCAAAACCTTGAGCTAGACATAGAAGGGTCCAAAAATCTATTCAGCTTCCTAGAGTTATAAATGCATCTCACCTTTTGAAAAAGACATATTGCCAATCATCTAACCAGATATTCAAAATCCAAACATATAACAATAAAATTGTAAGAAGCAAATATCAGCAGCTATTGCAACTATTAAACATGCCTCAGAAAACTTAGCAAAACATCACTGTTAAAACAATACTTCCAAAATCAAAGTATCAGAGTGAAGATATTCAAACTGTTTGTCCCTAGCAAGTAAATAGGGAAAAAATTAATTTCTGACGCAAAGCACCTATCCTGGAGAACCTCCAGTTGGCAGCTTAATTAACTGAGAAGTGTCCAGCTTGAACACCTTTGATGAACACAACTATAGCATATTACAAAGAAAAAAAAAAAAAAAGACTACGTGTGTAGCCATTTAGGACATAAGTCAAAAAGTGCTAAGTGGAAAAAAAAACCCCTAAGTGGAATTCTACCAGAAACCAATGTAAATTGGATCTATACCACCATGTTTAGCAAAAGGATTATCATATCCCAAGTTAGTAAGTACTTCTTATGTCTTTACAATGTTACTGGTATTTAGAATTTACAACAGAATTCATTCTGCAGACTTCCATTCCCAGCACCATGATGACACACTGGAGGAACGAGGAAGCAAATCGTATGGAAGCACAAATCTGAGAAGACTTGGTTTTATTGTTTAATAAGACCAAGCATGGGTTTGGTTTTTTATAACTTATTTTCTAATTCTCTGCCCAGTCTCACTTTCTTCTATAAAAGGACTTTAGCAACGTTCTTGTCATCTTGTAAAAAAATCAAAATCCTGGTCACTGTAAAACACTTCAAAACAACAGTATGACAGTAATTGATTTTCATGAGATTTAATTCTTCCAGCATGTCTCAGCCCAGCCCAGTGCTGACACAGAAGACTGTGACAGACTTTTCTGTTGTCACAGGGACTCTAGCTTTACTGATTACATACCTGCTGTGTAAGGATACTGATGTGGCTTGGTGGGGAATACTGACAGGCTGCTTGCTTTTCTGCCAGCTGCTGCAGTTCTGCTGCTACCATACTGGGGCTATAACGTTTGCCCTGGGAAGAAGTATCTTCTGCATCTTTGTACATCCTGGCTGAGCCCACACGCTGCGCACTTGGACTACGATGGCACAAACCTACCAAACAAACATTTGGATATGCTTAGTGAGGGGTATGTCAGACTGTCTCAGCCTGCTGATCACAGAGATACAAAAGCAGGTATAATACTTTCTGCACATTCTAGGGAGAATACAGCTTTCTATTCTGCATGGGTATTGCCTATATGAGCTTTTGTCAATTCCAAACCCATATTCTCTTTATCGTAATGTATCTAATGGCACCCAATTCCAGAGAATATTGGCTGCTGTTACCCAAGTTAAAATTATAATGTTTTTCCTTAAAAACTAATGGATCCTTTTACATAAGCTACTCACTTGAGAAGTCAGATTTATTTTAATGCTAGAAAGGTTGTCAATATATATACAGCAACCCTACTGAACATGTGCTGACCCTGACATACAACCTAAAGCAAATGTATACCATCATCAAAAAAAAAAAATATTATCAGGACCACAGCTGTTAGCCTGTGTGTGGTTCCCAAAACTTTCCTAATAGATTACAGGCTGCATCCATAAATTCCTACAGTTTCTTCTACCCTTCAGATTCCTTACACTCTAAAGTTGCATTGCACAGCTATATTCTACCCCAGCATGGTAAATGAGAGGTCTCTAGATCTTGTTTTTAAGATACTTTTGGATATGGCAGTGCTGAAGGGTCCTAGAGAATGAGATACAGTAATGATTCATTCAGGTCTTTCTTTTCTGGAGGTCTTGACGCACCCTTAAGTATTCAACAATTATGAGGTTTTGTTAAAGGATTTCTCTGCACGGTAGAGAAACACAGAACTAAGAACAGCACATAGACTGATAGGACTTCTACTGACCAAAACTACATTAAAATCACTAAAGATAAACAAGAAATATCAGTAACAGAATCAAGCGAAACTATACAATAATTCATTTCCCAGCTCTTTTCGAACAAGTTCAAAGGCCAAGTTCAAAGCTCAAGGCTGAGGGGAGACCTTATCGGTCTCTACAACTACCTGAAAGGAGGTTGTAGTGAGGTGGGTGTCGGTTTCCCAGGTAACAAGTGATAGGACAAGAGGAAAGGGCATCAAGTTGTGTCAGGGGAGGATTAGATTGGATATTAGGAAAAATTTCTTCACCAAAAGGGTTGTCAAGCATTGGAACAGGCTGGCCAGGGAAGTGGTTGAGTCACCATCCCTGGATGTATTTAAAGGATGCATAGACGTCACCCTTAGGGACGGTTTAGTGGTGGACTTGGCAGTGTTAGGTTAACAGTTGGACTCAATGATCTTAAGGGCCTTTTCCAACCTAAACAATTCTATGATTCCCTGTTCATCTGCTCAATAAAAGGGCATCTTTGGCAAACAAGGCCTGCTTTCTGCACTCTACCTTTCCCTGAGACATTTAGCACCATTCAACAAGACTTGTAATTCTAGAAACATAAAATTTCTATCTACTCCAGAACAGAGATTGAACAATCTCTATACTGAACTAGCAGGTTATTATACATCCCAGAACACTCACCTACTTTTGCAGAGGATGGTCGGGACAATCGTTGGCTGTAGATCTGAGCAGCTCTCTGAAAAGATGAGAATGGGCCAATGGTGTAGCTACCAGAATGACAATGATGTAACCCTGCAAGGCTAGAAGCCTCACTGGACACTGGGTTTGTGAAGACAGAAGAGCTGTCAGGAGCTGTACTCTGCAAGAAGGGTAGTGGGGATGGGGACTGAATCAGCCTAGGACCAACCAGAGGAGCTGGCAAGGAATGGTGACCAGGAACCTGTGAATTTTCAGAGGCTGGAGGCTGAGCTGGTATCCAGGAACTGGTACTTCTCTGGAACGTGGCACCAGAAACAGATGAAGAAGCACTAGGAGGGCCGCACTGAGGTAATTTCACTTCAGCATTTAAGGAGAAGGTGGGTCCTTCTGGAACTACACAAAGATAATGAGCACACTACATGAGAAAAAGCTGCTTTTCAGGTCCTTTGGATAACATCAACACACCAAAGATTCCTCTACTCAGACACACTGAAGCCAAAATGACCTTATATATCAGCAAAGACAAGAAGTGGCTCTACATGATGAATATCCTTTCAAAGCTTGCCATATCTAGATCTTCCCCCACAGAGGAGCAGCTCACTCTTTCATACTGCTCACTGTACCTTATCTTCTTTTCAGTTTAAAAGAAAAACCTGCAGAATCTTCCTCAAAATTGGGCATTTCAATCCCTCAGTTTGAACCCAAAGGTTCCAATCTTTGTTTAAAAAAGTATTAAAAACAGTACATGCATTCATTATTTTTTTCTTGATGGTGATTTAAGCCAGTTCACTTACAGGTTGATTTGACTTCTTTGAGTTTACAGCCTTTTAATGCTCCTTCTGCAGGCAGATCTGCAACTGAATTTTGGGGCTGATCACCTTTTATTTTTTTCACCATGTCAGGATGTTCTATAACAAAATCAAGGAGTTAGGAAGTAGAACAATGCAAACTGTGATATCATTAGAACAGGACAGCAGAATTTAAACCTGTTACAGTGGACTTTCTTGCTAATATTTACTGTAGACCATGCAATTCTATTGATCACAACTGTGCTGTCATGTACAGTAGCATGTACAGTGTCATGTACTGGATACGTATGGCTGGCACTGTACTTCCTTCCACAGAACACCTAATTAGGCTCAATTATACAGACTCTGCCCTTCAGTGGGTATGCTCACTGCAGGTAGCACAATTTAACAGGCCTTGATTTCCCTCAACCCTTACTCTGATTTCAGGATTCTCTGTTCATTTCAAATCTCAGTGCCTTCAGTTCGCACATTCTCATTTCAGTCATGAGCCACCGTATCTAGTTCCTTATAAATGCTAGTCCAGATTCATTCCATTTCACTTCAGGCAAAGAAGGTAGGAGTGCAGTTAACTCTAGTCTTCACGTATAGAGTCAGTTAAAAAAAAAAAAAAAAGATATGCAACCTCAAGAAGCCTGAGTAACAGTCTGGAGGGGTTGTTCTCTTTCCATAGACTGAAGTTAAACTGGATTTGTCTGGGCAACATCATCTCAAAACTACCTGCAAAACTTACCCCCTTGAGGCTGTTTCTCTGACTGGTTCCTGGTGTTGCTGGGTTTTGTGCTTGTGGAATTTGTTCCTAGGAAGACACCAGCTGACTTGTTTTTGTGTGTGTAAAATGTCAGCACTTTCTCCAGGTCACTTTCACTACAATAAGGACAGAAGAATGGATATAAGTGAGGATTCTAAGTTTTTCCGCATTCATGTAACTGATAGTCAAAGACAAGAAACAATAAGACTGAAGAGGGGAATGGGAAAAAAGGTGAGGCCAGACAAGCTAATGATTTGCTCAGTTCTGCAGGGTAAGAGCAGAAGGAAAGGAACATGCCTTGGTTAAACCTGAGATTCCCACTGAAATGCCATTTTCTTATGCAGTAGAAAATTCAAGGCATTCAGGAGCCTTCCCAGGATAAATAAAGAGCAAGTGAAAATTCCAAATACATTTTTGGGGAGATCAGTTCAACAGGAGAGATTCAGTTCACAACTAAATTTGCGAATCTTCCCCAGGTGCTCTCTAGAACAAGCAGCTATCTTGTTCATGAAGAACTGAGCTCAGCACTCTGTTTTATAACAGTCATCGTTAGTAGTTTCAATTCAGCTGGGGGCAGGGTTGGGGCAGAGGGATATGAGGAAAGAGGAAGGAAGAGCTTGTTAATTAGCCAAAACTGTAGGGTAAACAAACAGAACAGTCAATATTTTTGTTAATCTCACAAAACTTGCATATATTTCTCATTTTTGTTACAACAAGAGTTTAACACGGGAATATAAATTTGCATAGCAGCAGTTATAATCCTGCAAAACATCCTCTGCATATCACAGTTGCGCTAGTCTTGGCTAGCCTGAGCTTTGGTAAAAGCAATGTCTAAAACTGATCCCACTGGAGTTTGGGCCTTCAGCGCATGCTGCAAAGTTCATCTTTCCTCCCAAACAAATGATAATAGAGGTGAAGAGAAAATGGAAGAATGAAAAGTTGCTGGTGAAGAGGTGTTTTAAGCTTTTAAGTCAATTTACCAGCATAAGTATATAATTTTACATTGCACTGAGGACATTTAGAAGTAATGGTTGTAGCATGTGTATAACTAAGCACAATGCCATCCACGTGATGTTGAAGTTAGTCAACCAGACAATCCCAACTATTAAGTGGCAACATTTATTAACCTTTTTCTCCAGTGTTGCATTCACTGTACTGCAGAACAAACACTCAAAGTGGAAATCTATCCCCTTTGCTTGGCTCCAAATGACTAGCTCACTCATTTAAGCTTCAAGCACAGTGCATAGTGTCAGGTATCAGAGTTTTCAAATATACCTGATACTTCACAAGAAGCACAAAGATCATTGCTAGAAATTGCCTGATCGTTGGCAAACTGGCTTTTGCTGTTCTTTATCACTCAGGAGATGATCCAGCAAAAATCTCCAGTCACAGCCTAGACTATGCATCAGGCCATGATGGCATGGTAGCCAATAACATGGAAACAGAAGACTTATGCAGTTCTGCCCCAAACAGCCATCTCTTAGTATTTCTGGCAAAAAGCAAAATGACTTGCCCTAGGAGGCAACAGTCATTTTTGTGGCCAGAGACATCAGTGAACCAAGAGCATGCCGTGGGCCCATGTAATGTGCATTTCTAGTGACAGGAGTAGATGCTATGGTATATGGTAGTCAGACATCTTGAGTATCATTCTTTTATAGAACTCTATCTGAAAAGCAGCAAGATTTTTCTTGGAGCCTGTAAATCTGTTGTGGTAATGACTCCATCAGTTATATTAGCAAAATGTAAAATTCATTGATTTCATGACAGTGTAGCATCAAACGACACTGTGAAGCCTCCTGAACTTTGTTAAGAAGCCTCAGCTATCACCCACCTCTAATCAGTCAGTGAGTGCTATCCAAACAGAGAAAAAGAAAGAACAGTTTCATAACTGATCATGAAAAAGAAGCAGTGACTGCTAACCTTACCAGAGAAGATAGAAGGGCATTAAAAAGGCAGGTGAACTCTACCTGTTGAGATATTGACGGGGGTCCTTGCCCATATAGACATGTCATATATGGGTCAAATAAAGGACTCAAAAGGAATCGGGTTTTGTGCTCAAGAATCAGAGGCTTTGAGGACATAATTCTGGTTCACTGAATAATTTCAGACCTCTCCATGGTCAGATAGCTATACCATTGGTTTTCATACAATACTACAGGCCATAAAGAGTATTTACCTATTTTCAAAATACATTTCCTACCAGACTTTTGTAAGTTTAAGGCAGATAAAGTTCAGAGTTAGATAAAATTCACAGAAAATGCTGCTTTTTCATTGTGAACCACTTGCACTGAACTGCCTTAGCAAGCCAAATAAGAGGTTAGGATGAAGACAGGGAGTCTAACTCCCTTCCTTCCTCATCTCAGAAAGTCCAGACCTGGAAAGTTCCTGAAGAGAGGCAGCAAGCATGAAATTTGTTTCTGAGAGCAGAAACTTGAGAGCCAGAGCCACAACAACTGTTCAACCACAGCAGCTCAAGGCCATCTGAGCAGCAGCTCTAGTTTCACTCTCCTTCCAAAGTACTGCCACATTCGTGCCAGCATCACAGGAAAGGCAACCATTAGCTCACCAGCATCAGTTTGAAATTTACACAGACCAGGGCAACCACTGCTATCCTTTGGGAATCTACTTAATGGTCAAAACATCTATTGTATGTCCTTCTCAATGCACCAGATGCTGATGCTACAAGTATTTGGCTGCTGGAAGGAAGAAAAGAGAAAAGACAAGTTCTCTGTCCCCCAGCAAGAGCAGAAGCAGGTGCTACAGTCAGTAAAGGTATCTGGAGGCCTTTAGATCAATCAGATCATCCTTAGAACAATCCCATCACCTTCATGGCTAGGAGATCCTTTATCAAAGGGAATAAAATTTATTCCTACCTTGCTCTGGTAATAAAGTTCTGAAAACCTTCAGGATTCACTCCCTCCTCCTCCTCTTCCTGTTTCTTTTTTGGTCTTTTCTGAACCATCTGCTCCGTTTCCTGTTAATAAGCAGTATCAGTAAGTATCTCTATGTATTTACTTTATGTTCCATGGCATAGCTACAGCTCAGAGAAGACAAAAAACATTTCCATGGGATCTAAGGAAAAAAGAACATCAACTCCAAAGAGCCAAATTATAAGTATTTCACTATGTGCAACAGAATGGATAAATATAGACAGCCCCAGAGACAGCATGCTAAGCATACACTAAACTCCTCATTCCTCCACCTGACATAACTTGTTAGAATTAATTTGCTGAGAAGAGGTCAAGCCTTCATAAATACATGCTGCTGCTCCTTCAAATACACACTTTGCTGGGACATAAGGAAGTATGGAGGCAGGGTGGGGGGGAAATCATTCTTTACAGACATTAGGTCTCCTTTCTACTTTTCCTGTTTCTGTCACAAACATAGAGCTCCTCAAAATAGCTTTTATTTGAGCATCTGTCCCAAAAGGAGATATTCTGAAAGAAAGGAGGACAAAAATATAAAATAGAGAAACTCAATCAAGAAGGTCTGCTGAGGGCATCCACATTTCCTACCATAAACTAGGAGTTCTCGTCTTGAGTAAATTTCTCTTGTCATGCAGCAAATTGCTGAGGACTTATCTACATACCAAAAATACATTGCTTTAGCAAAAGCAAAGAAAGTAAAACAGCACAGCTTGTGGCAAACATGCATTTATACACTAAAATATACTGGAATAAAAGATGGTAAGCCTTTGTGTGTGAGAATGGGAGCAAGCTCTCAGATATAAATGATCTATTTTACACCAGTAAAACTTGTTGACACTAGAGGTTGTATTGATACAAACATTTCTGTTTAAAAAAAAACCTACAGGCCTGTCTGAAATACCAATACCAGCATACAAGCTTTATCTGACCAGACTTGACCTCCACTTCATTGCTTCCTACTGGTACTCTGAGCATTCCCATGATGAAAAGGTCACATACATCTTTTGAAAGATAATTCAAGAGTGGAAAGAAAAAGCCACTCTGGGACATGTCTCTACCCTTCACTACTTAAGTAAAGTCTGGACAGTATGTGATCTGTTTTATGTAGTTTGCTGGAGATAGTATTTTTTCTTCTGTGTCATTACAGAAGATACATAATGGTTAATAGGATTACCCTACTAAATCTGAAGTTACAAGTCAGTGAAAGTCATCTATACGTTGGACTCAGACATCAAAAACCTCATAGCCTAAGAGTCTCTCAATAGCTTAAACGTGTACATCCTAAAACCTCAAGTGATCTGTTCTCACTTGTTTTAACTAAGAAAAATATGTTTATGCACTGATTTATTACCAGTTACACAGCTTTATTTTGTGAATTTACTCAAGAGTTAGCAGAAAATCCTGATGTTTGAATACAATTTGAGTGGAAATTATATCCAAAGTAGCTGCGTTCTTCACTCACCACAGAGCCACCCAAGTGTTTTGTGGTTACTCCTAACACAGTAATTCAGTGAGCATTAGGCATACAAGGCACTCCCTGGAACAGATTTGGTTCAATACCAACCTTGCTTTGACAGATCAAATTACCAGATGTCAGTTCTGACAAGGTAATATAAGTGAACATCCTCTGCTAACGAGTAGGAGCTTGGAGGCCTGTGTGCTCAGCAGCCTCTGAAAGCAAAATTTAAACTACCCTTGTTCTAACACTAAAGAAATGCTAGGCAGCAAAGGAAAGGGGAAGCTGTTCTTGCAAAACAAGGATTAGCATGAAACCACTATGCTAAGAACAGCATCTTCTACATCTAAAGAGGTGAAAATTATTTAAATTAGGACCTACTTCCTATAACAACACATACAGACTCCCATACTACAGATAGGTAGCAGTCCCTCAGTATACCAAACAAATGGTAAAATACATATTTCATACTGTTCTGTACAAAAAAATTATCTCTAAAGAAGCATAATAAAAATAGGGAGAAATGGGAAGAAGCATTTCAAAGCACTAGAATTGAAGACAAGCCAAAGAAAAAGCAAATGCTAGTTGAATTCCACTTCATTTCAACACTTATTTTTACTTTTATGCACATGATTACCAGATTGCATACATAATGTAGTAATACTGTTGTCTATCCGACAATTTGAACAAACTACCATTACTGGATGCACAACTGCAAACAGACCATGTACATTACAGAACAGAGCCTTTAAAACAGTCTGCTGTCTTGACTGTGACAGCAGCCAGCAGGAGATACTTTAGAAGAGAACAGAAACCAAAAAAGAGCTACCAAAAGAAGAAACAAGAAAGAATTAGTCACCTTGTTATAACAGATTATGAACTCGCCCAGCTGGTGAGCCAGGATACGACGACGATCATTTAGTCCTAAACGACGGCTGGGGAGTAGCATCCTCAAGGACTGCTGAAGATTGCTGGCAGCTCGCTTCAGAAAGCGTACCACAAGCTCCTGCAAGCAAGAGAGATGGAGTTAACAATGGATCAGCTGCAAGATGTGGGCAAAAGAACAGAGGTATTACAGCAGCTAGTGACTGACAAGAACTAAACACACTGTCCTGAAAAAATGAGCTGACAACTGACAGGCAAAAGCATTCTGCAATGTGCATTTTTAATATAGCCCTACAAATCCAAGGTGAGGAGAGAAGAACAATAGTGTGCCTTGCCTGAGGTGGGTCAGAATTGGGAACACTTGAGGACTGTTTGTCTGAAAAGCATGGCAGATGAAGAAAACAAAAAAACAAGCAGCAAAAAGCAGGAACAACACAGAATAACCTGGAAAGTCCAATACCTTAGGAAAACATTTCCAAAAAACAACCTGCAGTGTGTTAAAGAAAGCCTGTGATGAAGTGTACTAACATAAAACCCTCTCAGCACTATCACAGGGAAGGGGATCTTGGTCAGATATCTCCACTACAGTGATGTAGCTCCATTTCATCACTTTTCATGTATGTATACTATTGCCACAGACTCGCCACAGCAACAGATGACTACATCTACAGCCATTTAATTCCAATCCCCCACCATGTCTGTTTGACCTCTGGTAGGGGAAACATATGGCAAAGCAGATTCTAAGGCAAGATGCATCCTGTGGGTGTTTTGAACCCTTTTTGTCTCCCCTCTGGATTTGCTTTTGGTTAGGAGCTCTGCTAATGCATAAATGAGCAGCCTCACAGCCAAACTATTGGATTTCACAGCTCGCCTCTCACTGCCATTACTCCAGGCTGGTTTGATCTGTTATTTTAAACATTATTTTTCACAGTACAGCAGACAAAGTGACTCTCAAAAAGCCAGATTTAATTTCCACTTGGAAAGAGCAGGGGTAACATTTTCCACTGAGTCGACTGATTATTCCTGACACACAATTTTATCTCTGAACTGCATTGGCTGTTTCCCTGCAACATACATTCAGCAAGGATACATTTGGATTTGCAGAAAGCTCAAGAGCCTACAGTACAAAGCTCTTTTAGAAAAGTTTGTGAGGGTATCTGGGCTTGCTGCACTCTTTAAAATGTATATACGTTAAATATAGGGCCTTAAAATACTGCCTAGGAAAATTCACCACATTTCAAAAAAACCAAACCAAACCAAACAAACAAAAAACACAAAAAAACAAACCAAAACAACAAACAAAAAAAAACCAAAACCGCCTATGCTAGAAAGTAACTTTCTCTCCTCAGTGGCTTTTACTTTTTCCTCTATCTAGAATGCAAGGAAGATTCCTAAGCGCAGATGCCTGCAAAGAGTAAAACAGTACATAGGAGAAAAAGCTTAACTGGGTACCTGTTCTATTTGAGTAGATGTATGCTTTGTTTAACGCAGCAGAAACTGGATACTGCCAATTAATCTTAAAGAATCTTAGAGAGAAGAATTCAAAAGCAGGTAAGCTCAGAGATCAGTGAAGGAGAACCAATGAAAAATCTGAGCAGCTTGAACGTCAACCACACTCTAGTCATTAAGAGCTGTCTACTCTATTGCTGCTCAGATGTCAGTCAGCAGTCCTACCTTGTCTGTATATTAAAAATACAGCATTGGCAGGTGGACAAAGATAGACAACTATAATCTCAGTTGGACTTCAGTTCTTCCAAGGATGGGAATTGACCTCAAAACTCTTAAGGCAGATTTCAGCTTGGCTTCTCCATCTGGCCAACACAAAGCTTCTTACCATTTGCTCATCCTCTTTGGCAGCCCAGGTGGGATTCTGGATCTGGTCACCAGCCTCCTTCATCAGTCGCAACTGAACATGCTGTAGATAGGCAGAGAAAGCCCTGCGAGCTTGCACTTTGCTGTGGACCAAAAGAATCAGTTAGCTATCTTCATAGTAGTAATGGGAAGAGTTCCAGCAGTCAGGCACAGCCTATGGACCAAAGTACAGTCAGCAAGGACCACCTAGGTGCACAAATGTTGAAGCTCAAGGGAAAGAGGACCCCTTCACCCCACAAGTATTTTCAAGCAGACCTTCAGTTCACCAAGATGGGGTAGGTATTGCAGGAGATACAAAAAACAGCAGACACTCTAAGTTCTAAGATCATCTCTAAAAATGGAATGTTCTTCTTGCCTTTTCACAGCCTTAGCTACTCTCCTCCAAAAGCCAATAACATGAACATCAGCAAAACTGTGTATTTTTAAACCAAATTCAAGGCTCTCTTGGGCCTGTGTCTTCACAAACATTTTGAACACCACAACAGCAGACCATAAAATACATAAAGAGCTTGGTACTGGTGCCAGAGTTATAACAAAGGCCCTGCGATTCCCATCGGAAATGAAAGAATTAAGTCTGTGAAAGTGAGCTCTTCCTCTGCTGGCCCAAGGACACAAGCCAAATATCATTGAGCAAGGCATCACTGAAGAATGAAAGAACATCAGCAAAATCTGCTGTGCAGCTGGCTGAACATATTGGGAAGCTGTGAGCATGAACTGAGGAGAGGACTGGGGTAGGACTGGGAGGGACACATTGCTTCTCATTCCCTTACAATGGTAGTCACTTTAGCGTATGCATCTGTTGTGAAAGAAATCGCTGAAAGTTTTGCCTAATTCTGTTCATTGTCATCTTGGCCTAAACCCTCTCCTCCAACATTCTGCTCTCCCAATCTCCACTCTTCCTCATAGTTTTCCCCATACTCACTACAAGCTGTCCCTTGAATTGCCAAGCATGATTTCTCCTTTCCTTTTCATAAGGATGTAGAAACAGATGGACTTTAGTGACAGTGACAAATTCCCCTTCTATCACAGGCAGTCTCCTAATCTTTTCTATAAAATTATTAAGTTTCATCTTAAAACAAACTAGAGTTTTCAACCCATTACTTTCCTGAAATATTATTCCAGAACTTAACTGTTCTAGTAATTAGGAACCTTCTTTTACTACCCAGCCTAGCTTCATTGATGAGCAGTTTATATTTGCTTTTTCTTTCTCCCACATTGTCCTGTATCGTAAATAATTTCATCCCTGATGAGGCTCCTTCCTTGAATGTATTTATTAACATCAATTACATTCTTTCATAGTTTTCATTTTATTAGTGTGAACTATCCACATCTTTCAGTGTCTTCTAACAAAGCACCCACACTGGTGACACGATGAGACTAGCAGCTTGTCTCGACCTGTTCCAGTCACAATTTATCTTCCATGAACATGGGTGATAGCAACTGTATACTATATTCCACATAAAGTCTCAGAAGTATCTCAAGTGATAAACCCTAGACCACATTTGGTGTTTTCATGCATGCATGAGCTAGAGCTTTGCAATCCTGTGATCAACAAGCATGCAAGATATTTTTCCTTATAATTAATTTGCAGCTGATAGAATTTCTGCAGTAAATTATTAGTTCCTAAAAGCATGCCCTTGCACTTTGTGCTACTGCATTTCATCCTAGTTATATTATTCCTATCCTTATGGTCACCCAGTTCTTAGCATGTTTATTCCACTACTTTTCTCTCATGGTAATAACTCCCAAATCTTTTCCATCATCAAAATTCATTAGCACATTTCTACATTTTGTGTCATTCTTGAATTGATTACTAAAATCAGCCTCAGACTGATTCCTGAGGAACCTCACCATTTTTTCCTCTACTTGTTCTCTGCTTCTTAGAAATATTGTCAGGTATTTATATGGTCCTCATGAGTCCATGTACACTAGTCCCTGAAAACTCAGTCCAGAAATTTGGTCTTCCTGTTTTATATGTCTGTAAATTTCATGAACACTTCATTACAGTGTTACATAGAAATCATACAACACAATAGCACTTATAGAGATCGATGTATCAATTTAGATAAGAACTGAAGTTAAAATAAAATACATTAAAAGTATTCATGCATCTGCTTAATCATTAGCTTTTGATGCTTCTGAAAGACCATGCCAGGTCTAAAGAAGGGCTAAGCAAATGATGAGTTCACAAGAGTCTCAAAGTAACATCCTCTGTGGATAGCTGTACCAGTACTGCAGTAAATAAAACATGATAAAAATACCTGGTTACAATTCCTGTCTTGCAGTGAACTCCAGAATACACAGCAGACCTTGTAACATTTCCGAGCTCTGTATGCTGCTAGTCACCACACCTACCTTCTCTTCCCACGTCTGGAACATCAGGAGAAGATCCTGAACCCTGACTAAGAACTAATATTTTATACATCAAGCCACCATGTATCAGAAAAGGCTCTCCCCTGATGGCTCTCTAGGGCTGCCAGGTTTGTTTTAGGTATAACTCAAACATCTCATGACAAGGAGTTCAAAATTTGTGCTGGCAGGAATTAAGGACACCCCACCCCCCCGACATTATCAACATCAGCACAGTAATACAATTCTTTGTCTGTACCTGATACTTCTGTGATTACAAAATGGGAAACTGAAGAAGGTCCTTGTATAACACTGCCTCTCCTCCAGTGTGTGGAATATTGAAACCTGAGGCCTTAAATGCAGGAACCAGTAACCCCATTTTCTCTTTACTTCCCTGGGAATGGCACAGTTGGGGAAACAGGTTTCATTTGACTATTACCTCTTTACCACCCAATGTGTGGAAGGCAGAGAAACTGCCTCATTGGGTCAACTAAAGGAGAGAGAGAAGTCCTACCACTTACAAAAACTGACTGGAATAGGCCTGGTTTCTTTTGGATGAAAATTTCATTACTTCAGCTCCTCTGCCTGTTGACCCCACGAGCAAAGCTTTCATCAATGACAGATCAGATGGGGCCAAGCCCAGCACAATCCTGGAACATGAGGTCACCACAAGCCTTCCACACTTCTGTGGGGAATCCCAACAGTTCCAGGTGCTGAGCAAAATTCTGCCAGGAACACCAGACAAAGCTTACGTTCTCAGCAGGAGTCAGATCTATATATAGGTAGATGACAGCATTGTTATGTTTGTCCTCAAACACGTTTCAGAATCTTCCCTGTCATGACAGCAAATGTCCTTGCCACAAGAAGACATTAGAACAATCCCTAAATGCACTTGATAATTCATAAATGCTCTCAGAAACTAAACAGAACAACAAGCAACAGTTGTTTTCTCTACCTTTGGACATTTTTCACAGAAAACATAACGCTGCTTCTTATCTAGAAGATGTAAAATCCTCCTACACAGATATATATGATCGCTCTTTTTGCCCTTCCTGTCCACCTGCAAATAGACAGTTCTACTACCCACATTTAAGGGGAGGATCATGCTTCTAAACATTTAGTAGGACACTGGTTGGTGTTATTCTATACAATCTCCTCCAGCACCTCTCTTTTTTTCAAGCAACAAAGCCATGCATCAGAACATAGTCTGCCCCACACTGTCATACTTAACAGCAGGCAATGAGATGTTTCAGTAACTTGTCACTTTCAAATGACCTCCTATCTTGCTCTCAGGATGTGATAACCTTGAGCACAGATTATTATTAGAGGTAAAAATTCTATCACCAAAAATAAAAGCACAAAAATGAAAAAACTAATTCTATGGAGAGGCAGCACTGAGATATTCCTACCCAACCTTTCTTGGATAGTTTAACATATGCTTATACCCACTTCTTCGGAAATGCAAAGAACTAAAAGATTAACTTTAGAATTCAATAGCAGGCATCCTGAGTTAAGACAGAGAGGCATTTTAGAAGCATGACTTGACCAAAGAACAGCTTACATCACCAGATTAAAGAATAACAATGGACACTACGGCTTATGCTTTATACTGATCCAACAGGTCAGGCATTTAGGTAAACTCTCAGTTTTTGCAACTATCTCCTTTCTGTGCCAACTAGCTGTTAAGGCAGCCCACAGCTAGACAAAAGTCCAGGGTCCTTTCTCTAGGGTCCTCTTATCTCCTCACACTCATTCATAATGCGGCACTAAGCATACATCCTCCATATTTTAACCAATATTAGCTGCTAGTCAAAACTCAAGGCAATATGCAGGAATCTCTCACCTCAGATTCCCATGTTTTTGAAGAATCTGCAGCAAGTTAAACTGAGATCCTGAGTCTGTTTTTTGAAGGAACAGCTCTCCTCCATCTCCGGTTTTCTTGTCGAGTTTTTCTGGCAAACTCTCCTTACAAGCAGTTTTCACCAAGTCAGACAGCTTTGGCTTGCTTTTCACCTGGGTGTCCGAAAGAGAGCCAACAGTTCTATCTAGCTCTTCATCTTCACCTGCATCCACCTCCTCTTCCTCCTCACCTTCTGCATCTGACTTGAGGGACAGCTTTGTTGTTTCTGATGCCCCTGTAGTGTAGGACAAATCACCTATGCTGGTTAAGAAAAAAAAAAGAAGTGGGGAGGACTGCCCTGCTATTTATACCCTTTGGTTTACTTCTAAACTCTCTTCCGCTAGAAGGACAGAACACCACAATTTTAGAATGGCATCTTAACTATTGCTGCCCTTTATTATTCTTTCTGCCTTTCTGCTTGTGTATCGAACAGTTGAGAAGCCCATTTTCCCAATATCAGAGAAGACAGACCAAGATTCTTGTCTTAACTTTACAAATGAAAAAAAAAAAAAAAAGAGAAACAAAGGCATTTTCCTATATTTTATCCTAATCTTTACATATATATATACACTGACATATATATATACACTTACACTTGACATATATGCTCAATTTTTGTACTTTTGTGCGTCAGAAAAATCAAATCTATGAAATCTAAACTTCTACGTGTGTCAATAAAGATCACATACCTTAACATAGCACCAAAAATCATTTTATAACATACAATCTCTCCCACTGCAGTCAGTATCACATAGCTACTAGAAAGAATTTAGATAAAGGCTTCAGGAACAGCCACTTGTGAGGACCATTAACCTCTGTACCCTTTTAAGTTTTTCCCACATCAGCTTGGATAAGAAGGATTTCTCTCTCTGCAACAGCTCAGAGTCAATGCTGTGTAGGAGAACCAGCCTGGAAGGTCCCAAGTTTTCACCTTTCTCTAAAAAGCTGGAGGACTATAGAGGCACACATACTGTTGAATTCTTGTACCCCAAATGCAACCACAAGCTCATCTTCAAGAAAATATTGATTACCTTTAGTCATATACCTGGGGATGTGGAATGGTGGGACTGAAATTCTAGGCACTAAGGAAGCAGGAAGCTCATAATAGTTTTCACTTCATTCCTCTTAACACTTGAAATGAAAACTATTAACTTCGATCTGTGAATCCCTTCAGGGACTACAAAGGCCAGAACAACCCCATTCACTCGCATTTCAAATTAAGAAGTCCTTGCTTGCTTGTTTCTGACTAGCCACTCATCTAAGACTCTAGCCATGCATACCTGATGATCTTGTCCGTGCTGCTCTAGCCTTGCCATGACATCGCCGGCGCTTCCGTAACTCCAGTGAAACAAGCTTTCTCTCATAAAAGAGAGCATGAGAGTCTACAGCTTCCAGCTTCATATCCAGCCTTCCATTAAGACCTGCTCTGGGAAGCATAATACACAGACATCCTCAATCTCCCTTTATACTTCTCTCCCTGGTGATACAAGAGACTTAGTAGATTAAATTTCTTCAAGAAACAGTTTTCCTGACACAGGGAAGAAATATTTATGATCCGTCTAACCTTGCTCTATTTAAAGCCTGTGAAAGTTTGAAGTGAGTCTTCCAAGTACTTTACAGAACATCATCTCTCAAAGCCCCAAAACGCACTTATCTAGTGTCATGCTTTCATGACTAAGCAGCATCTGTCCATCATGCAGCAGGTCAAGGCACAATTAATAGGGAAAATTGAATTGCAAGAGTACAAAACAATGGATGGGAGTGGGAAGAGAGCACGTGGACCCGAGTCCTGTCTTCTGAACCTTTCATGTAGACAGCTTGTTCTTCACTGTTTGGTCAGAGATAAGAATTTTAACATAATCTAAGTGAAAAATTACAACTGTTCTACAAGTTCTGCCTAAACCAAGGGAGAAGGAGCCCTGCCAGATTCCTTAAGGGAGACAAACAACAACTTCTGCCAGTGCACAAAGATCCAGCAAAGTGTTCTTTATGATATAAGTGGGAACATCCACAGAAAATTCCTGTTGCTCCATTTATGTTTTAGATCTAGTGAAGTGAATATAGGTATATGAAGTCCAAACCCCTTATGCATTACAGGATCTTTTGAGAGAGTTCAATGGTGAGGCTTATCAATATGGTAGGAATGCCAAAGTAGGAAGCCTAAGAGGAGCAACTTTAAGGTCCAATCCAACAAAACTTAAGCTCTCCACATGCTGGGATACTCTTTGCTCACTGTATTTACTTTCCTAAAATTAGTTTGAAGGATTTCAGGTAGAAAACACATTGACCCAGGACTTGGAAGATGAAGCAGTAGAAATCTAAACTTAGAATAAATCCTACAAAGTACAAATTATTTAATTAAGAAACCATTTACCGGGATCTCCCAGTGATGAAGTCTCTTTTCATCTTGCCCCTACAAAGGGAAAAACAGCAAAAATTACCTTCCATTCTGGATCATCACCTGGATTAAAAAGCCTCTGAAGTCTTTCAGGTGTACAGTGAGAAGGCCAAATTTACAGAATTCCTTGTGAGTTCTGTCTTAAAGGAGAAAAAAAAAAAGGCTCAAAAAGAGGAAATCTGAGCAGCTGTTCTACAACTGATGCTTGCATCTGTCTGGCTTAAATTGGAGAAGGTGTCATTTGGAGCTACCCTTTAGACACACCCCTGAAAGTACACAGGAAAAAAAAAACAAAAAAAAACCCCAAAAAACCACAAACAAACCACCTTACAGTGCTGATGCAGGAAGAGCTTCTGTAAATATTGCCTCCTCAGTCAGCAACCCTAGCCTTACTCTGTAGTTACTTTATTGTGGATCTCAAATTTGGGTAAGAAAAACCATTGAGAAGGAAGGGTGTTAAACACACAATGAAAGATATTGCACACAACTCTCAATGGAAGTTCAGCTAGTGGCATGAACTGTCATTTCCACCCAAGCACAGCCCAGAGAAAGAGGCATCAAATAATGTTTGCACAGGTTAAGAGATAGGGATACTAAACCTTTGGAGTAAATTTCAGTGCTTACTTTACATGAGGACAAGCTCTAATCTGACTTTTAATTTGAAACAAAAGCTAAGCAAGGACCACCTATAATCCCTTCATAGAGAAACCTAGGTGCTTGAAGGTTTTTCATGTCTATAGTCATCTTCTTACTCCAACAACTCCCACACCCTTTGTGTATTGTCCTTTTTGCCCTTGGATTCAGAAGCACAACACAAAAATGTGAGAAACCTCCACAGTCACTGGCACACTAGAGAAGAGACACACAACTATTACCACCCCCATAAATCGCAGGCTTTATATTATTTGGTGTTTATAACATTGGATAAGTGAGGAATCAATCCTTTTCATGCTGTTTGTGCCCTTTGCCTCTCTCCCAAATAGAAAAGCTTTCTACCTGTCCTGAAACAGACGTGTAGCCAGCATGTAGTTCATTGATGTCTTGTGCTCTAAAAAGGATCTAGAAAATCAAAATATAGGATGTATCAAGATAGTGTTCAACACAATGAAAGGCAGCTTAATACAGAAATAAATTATCTATAAAGAACATCCCAGAAGTGGATTGAGACAATATGCTGTACCATAACAGAAAAGAGGAAAGGAGGAGAGCTATCACTTCTCAGCTGAAGTTCCTGGTGAGGCAAGAGACACAGAAAAACATTACAGACTGGAAAAAAATTAGAAAAGCGTAACATAGTATCACTCACAGGATGTAGCCCTATACTGTGTTGATGGCCTAATGACAGAGTACACAGTACATGCAGCTGTAGGATGTAAAAGCAGATAGCAGGAATAGATTACCTGAAGTGAAGACATTTTTATTCTGACAGAAAAGCAACATCAGAAACAATGCTTGATAGCCTTCCATAAGGTGCAGTTAGGCAAAGCAGCAGCAGTTAAAAACAAGGGATCAGAAAAACACATCCTCAACACTAAAATAAACTCTACCAAAACCCTCAATATGTGTCTTTCTGATTGCTAAGCTGGTTGTTCTACATATACCTAACACAGAATATCCCTCAACACAGAGCATCAGTGCAACACTGAGCCATCCTATTGGATTCTTATTCTTACCCATAAAGGTCCCATGTTAATGGGGTAGGGAATATCCGGATGAAGCCTCCTCTCCGTTCATTCTCCTCTCTCACTCGATGAAGAACTTTTATCTTGGAATAAAAAGAAAAAAAAAAAAAATAGCCAGCAAAATAGATACAATGAAGAATGAACCCTAGAAAAATCTCTGAGTTTCAGAGGACAGGACTATTACTGCAGTCCTGGGAGTGGGCTGGCTACACATGATATCCTTAAGCAATTTTATCCTGCATTTAAATTCTGAAGGAGTCTATCACACCTGGCATGACTGAGGGCAAGGTCAGTACCAGCAGTAAAACTCAGAAGTTCTGTTTCAAAAATTATACTTCTGTCATGTTTTTCATATACATGCACTTGTTTTTTGCTGAGCAAATAACCCCACATATTGCATGAAATCCAAGGTAAATAAAAGGTATTTAATAGCCTACTTACCTCCTCCATGGAGAGACCTAGCACAGAGCTGCCTTGCCTTCCTGTTGCTTTTTCCCTGCCTGAGGGCACTGGGTTTTTAATTTCAGCATCACTGGCAGACAGAGGACGGGTACGCTGTAGAGACAGTGTGAAACCAGATTTTCCCCTTTTCCTCTCTCAACTTTAAAAAAAAAAAAGTTACATTCAAACTCCAGGATCCTCTTCCCAGCAGAATCTACACTCCAGAGTACTGCAGCCAGAATTCACAATTCCACACTTCAGCGGTTGAAGAGTCCACACAGCAGCGGGCACAAAGTGTGAGTATTCACTTTCCCAGTTTTTAACACAGCAGGACTCAATTCAGGCATCAGTGCCAGTATTTACACCCCTGGCCCCTTCCAGAAAAACATGAGACATACACAAAAGCACCAAAGCCAGGATTTCATACAGAAAAATTCTCACCCAAGGGGCACCAAAAGCCAGCTTCACACTCACAGGCCCCAAATACACTTGGATTCACACCTCAATGGTACCAGAACCATGATTCTCTGTTCCAGTTGTGTTGCTACACTAGAACAGAACTGTAATTCACTGATGAGATAAAGTTGCAGGGGAAAAGTGAAAAATTCAGTTCACCACCTGTAATTCTTTTGTTACTATACTGCTGGATCTCGTCTTGCTACTTCTCACACTTAACGGACAGATCTTGTATATGTACATAGATATACCATGCAAATTTGCAGATACATGCAAATTTAAAAAATAAGAAATAATTTGCAGACAGTCTCTCCAAGCTCATTCTTAACCTGATGGGCAGTCCTGATCAATTCTAACAAAGGACAGGAATTCAAAGTGTCTTCACATTAGCAGGATTATAAAATCTTAAAATCCCAGCAAGACTGAAATCTTTGAACATGTTCTCAAGTACATTTTAGCTGGTCTTAGGCCCAGTTCAGATAACTACCTCTGTAAAAATAGCATTAAGAGTCTAGCTGAGAAGGTCTCATGCCTTTATACAAAATTCAAATTTTCTTTTATCACTATACTGAGCAAAGAATGCACAGAGAGACTTCTTAATCTAGAAAGAAGAGAAAAAGATGAGAAACCTTAAGCTGGATGACCAGGGGAATATCCCATAGTGCTCAGATACAAATAAAACTCATGGCAAGATCAGGTTGTAAATTTATTTGTAAAGACTATTGGAACTGAATTCCATTCTCCCTGTTTCATTAGAAATTATAAGCGGCTATTCAGAATTTGCAGATTCTGAAATAGGGAGGCAAAGGGCACAAACAGCATGAAAAGGATTGATTCCTCACTTATCCAATGTTATAAACACCGCAAAAGGAACAGGCATTGCACTAGAATGGGTTACACTGCAGTGATTGGCACAGAAAGATCCAAAGAGAAAACAGACATAGCAGGTGCCAGCTGAAACATTTTGTTAAGCCTAATGAAAACTGATTAAATAAAACAAGAGGAAACGAGACAATCTGGATGAGAAGGTAGGAGACAAGCATTTGCAGAAGAAATAAAAATGTCAGTAGTCAAACAGGTTTGCTTGATGCTGCAGATGGCATCAAGTTGAAAGGCTTTTAGTCTTTCTTCCTAACCTGGCCTCCATTTCAAAAAGCACGGCTCAACAACTTTAATAACTTCCTCTAAAATCTTCTGCTAGGTAACCTCCTCTTAAAAACCATTTCCTGACACTACCATAACAATCATCATGTGATAACTGCTGCTCAAAGAGAATATTACAGGAAATTTTTCATCCTATCAGATGATCTCCTTTACTAAGGAAATACTTCAATGAAATAATCTCAATTGTCTGGATACAATGGAGATAATTTCATTGATTACATACAGAAAATGTATACCTACATATTGGCAGCTCTGGCTCCTATGACTAGTGAAGCTCTGGCTCCTATCTGAGAACAAACTATACTATTGTCAAAATGCTAGAAAAAAACTCTAACTTTACTGAACTTCTGCACAAACACTTTTTTCAGTGTTTCACTGCAGAATTCTCTCTGGCTATAGCACAAATGTCTCTAACTTCACAAAGATCTTGTTTCCTTTTTGATCCAGCTTATCTTTAAAAGTATAGATAAATCCAACCACTTTGTTTTATCTCCAAATTCTGTGAGCATCTCTGGTTTCCACATGATTCTAATTATCCTAAGCAGCAGTTGGCACACTGACAGCAGTTGGCACAAAGATCCTTCCTATTCTTTATGAAACCTCATTATTCAATAAGACTCTCCTCTCAGCCTCAGCTAAACTAACACAGAATGATACAAACAACAGAGCATAGAATGAATTAGGTTCTCAAGATGATTCCATCTGTCCTACCTTCCTTCCTGCTGGGAAACCTCAAAAAAAAAAAAAAAAAAAGGAGAACCATCACCATTACGTTCATGCAGGAAGCCCAGCAGCAAAATAATGCCTACCATGTCCCCACACAGCCAGGTGCTTAGAATTGTAAACTAACATTGATTTGTCCATATGGCTTGCAAGGAGGATGCCAAATATGACATTTAGAAAGGTGGATCAGTCTGATTTATGCTAACAATAGTTCTACATGTTTCCACTATCTTTAAGAATTCCTTCTTATCTATTTTGACCCAGTTGACTCTCAAATTTTTGCAGTTTCCTTCAGATGACTGTCTCATGGAAAACACTTACTTCTTTTATAGGGCCACCTGAATTTTGTCCATACAGATTCACCTGTGCTATCCTTTCCATTCAGACTTATTCCATTGCCTGTAGTACACAAGACAAAAATTCCTCCTCCTCCTCCTTTTTGGTGTGACACTCCCATTTATTGCTGTTTTCACCAGCTCTTCCTTTGGTTTTGCACTTCCTTTTCAATGACCTACTAAATCCAGAACACTGTGCTGCCACTGTCTTCATCATTTGATGACCAGAACGACAACTTTATCTTTAAACATCTATATCCAATTTCTTTAAAATGCAGTTCAGAAATACTTGTAGGCTTAAAAACTTTGAGGGATTTGACCCAGCTGACCTTGACTCTCAGCACACCTCACCTACTCTTTCTTTAAGCTGCTAGAACTGATGTAAATGTTTTTCCAACCTTTGCTCTTGCCACATGGAAACGTATGCCAGTACCTGTCCATTTCCTCTTTTCTTGTTGACTTCGTCCCTCCACCAGGCTACTTAGCTACAAAATATATTTTGGGACCAATTGTGCCAAAAGTATTGTACAAGGTAACATTTGAAATTGCATCCCTTATACTGGTGAAGGGAGCTGAAGGTTACTTACCAACCTGGTGTTTGCTGTTTGCGACTGCGCAGACACAGGATGCTGCAAGAGACACACAAAGAGAATAAAACCCTTGTGTTCTCTAAGACACTATCATCCCTGCCCAAGTTACAGAGGAGCGATGAGTACCCTAAAGCAAAAGGGTATAACCGAAGTCCAGAGATATAGCTAACAGCTTCTACCATCTCAGTTCAGATCTTCCTCATATCCTCTGCAAATGTATCCTGTCCCCATTCCAAACGCTAACCTCAGATGTGCTCAACCGTGCAAAAGGCATCTGGACGTACATATAATTTTCAAAAGCACACAGAAAAGAGCTCTGCAGAATGGATGAATTAACTCAACTCTCATGACCAAAATTCATATTTTTGTAAGATAAGAATTACCCAGAGGAAATTATTTAATAGCTATGTATTACAGAGAAACAGACGCTGTCAAGTAGAATTGTTCATAGAACAGAGGGGGTAAAAAAAGTCATAAAAATCCTGACATTCCAGAAGCCATTTCATTTAAATATCTCAACGATATTCCAGTTCTTGTGAAGGAACAAGATGCTTTTTAACATTCCAAAATAGGTGTAGAAACATCAGCAGAATGTCAAAAAGTACCCTGTATTACTTATCTAGCAACAGGCCTACAAGCAAGGCCAGTTTAATGACAGGGGTAGGTTCAAAAGAAAACTATTATCATAGGAGCTTCGATCTTTCTTGCCTTCAGTTGTATTCATCCTCTCCAATGCCCAAGAGGAGCAAATGGTGTAAGAAAGGATTCTCAAGAGACCTATCTATCACTTCGAGATGTGCTACTGCCAAGTTCTTCTCTACAGTTGGTCTATACAAAACAGGTCAAGGTCCCTTTATTGCTTACGATTAATTGAAAAAGCTCCAACCCAAATCAACAATAAGTTACAAAGGAAGCAGCTAAATTGTTCATTTCCCTAGAGAGAGAAATTCTCAGAGTGTCAAACCAAAGAAATTGCACAAGGAACTTGCAGTCCAGTCTGATGAAACTCAGAAAACAGAGTAACTATCTCATGACCAAGAATGCTGGTATCAGCATTTCTTTCCCAAGAACCAACTTTTACAATGATTAAAGATGGCCTACATGAATGATCAAAACTTAAGACATCATGAAGGAGTTAAGAAAAACAAAAGAGGTTCAAAGTACCCTTTGCAACTGAGAACGGGAACAGAAGTATCAAAGATCCAACAATACGACATAAAATGCATTCAGCAAAGAGCAGGCCAAAACATTCTTGAACCATGGAAAAATCTATACACCTATTTAGCCATGGGATTTCCATTTAGGTATTTAAGAAGAACATGCTGCAAAACTTTATCACTGGATTAGAAGCCTGTTCCTTGTAAAGCTAGGTACAGGGGACCTGTCCCAAAAGATAAACTAATCCCATCTCAACCATCGCTCTGTCATATGAATCTTCACACATTTCAACTGGCCAGGCCTTACACCTATTTGTAGTTTTTTAAGCAAAATAAATCTGTAAATTTAAAGCCTCCTTAAAGATTCAATCCTTCCCAACAGCTCAATTTTCTGAGACTGTCTTGTATAATTTTTTTCAGATAGAAGATGTCAAATCATCAGGGTCTGATTGCATTACTCTAAGACAGAGGTTACTTTTTCTGGAATGGCTCCTAATTTATCCGAGGTACCTTCTGTCTGCCACAAAAAGCACCTTTATGGTCAGAGGGATCTGTATGAAAACCTATCTATCTATTAAATTGGCCTTAGAAGCTCTGGACTCAGCCATGCATCTTATAGATACTCAAATCTCACCTTACCAGCTATTCACCTGTCTCCCAGTGACTCAAGACTAAGTTTTACAAGAAGCAAAATGTTGCAATTTTTGTGAGTTTTCCCTATACCAAAAAAGGACAGTGTATTGGTATGCTGTCACTGAACAAAGATGACTTCTCATTTCCTAATTCAGCTTGAGCTACAGAGCCATGTTGCATGTCCCTCACAGGAGCATATGCATCAGCTGCAGAGAACGTCAGGATACACCGTCTGCCTATTTGCCTGAGGAGAAATGAATTTGAAAGTCCAAATGACATAGGGGATCTCCCTGCCTTTTGTGAGTGCTCCACTTCCACAGATATTTATGGAATACATCTCATAACCAGAAAAAGATAGAGAACAACTGCTCTGCAGCACTACAGTGCTAAGAAAGCACTATCTCAGCAGAAAAGGTAATGAACAGTCACAGCAAGCCACACGAGGCGTCAGTCCAAAGATCCACAGGAAAGGAAGTGAGAGGTTCCAAGAGTGAATGGGAAAGAAGGCTTAAATTCCAAGTGCAAAAAGCTCTTTCTGCCTAGAAGGAGGTCTTGGAGACATTCATAAAGCTCTAGGGTTCTGGAAGGTCGTTGCCCACAACAAAACAAAAGTGGCTGAACATAGCTCAGGTGCATCCCCCAAGTCTCTTCTGTAGTTATCCTAGAAATCCAAATATCCTCACTCCCTCACTGGCTCTCTCAGCTGTGAGCCAAATTCAACGAGACTGACTTTCCTGCTATCCTCCTCAGCTCTGGCTTGTTGAAGTCACTTACCTGCAGCTTCTGGTATGGATTTCTCCTGACAGATTCAGATGAATGATAAATGGCCCGGCTTGACCGCTGGCCTGGATCCTGGCACACGAAACCTATGGGCATCAGGAGCCACATGAGAACTTTAACACAGGCAAACCCTGAAATATAAACCTAGCATTCCTGTTAATGATCTCAGTCTATACATGACCTTCCTGTCCCTGCCCAAGGACCAAAAAGGATGCTTTTTCTTTTTTATACCTTGCTTTGTTTAATCCCAAACTGTACATTGCATTACATTTTTTTTTAATAACACTGGAACTTGCTTCAAAACCAAGTACTTAAATCAATAAGATGGGTTACTGAATAGCAGCATAGAGATAGGCTCCATTTCTTAAATAGCTGAGCAGACCACCTGATGACAATTCTGCATCTTTTAGTATTAGGGGTAAGTTGTGTCAAGTAACTGAACCAAGATGTCCTAAGAATGCCTAAAAGGTGCTGTGCACTAGACAGTCATGCAGCTTTCACAATCATGACTCCACTTCTAACATAGCCTAACCAGAACCCACACATTCAACCTAAAAAAAAAATGCATGAATACTGATTCTGAGGGCTAAACAGAAGTCACCTACTAAAGAGAAAGAGTAGTGTCTTCAAATACCAAACTAGGGACTCTTAATAGCACCTAAGCATCACAAACAGCCAGATTATTCTGAAGCTGAAACATCCATGTATAACTTTCCAGTGCTAAATACAGTTGCTCTCCTTTAACTGGAGTTCTCCTCTATTATACTTATCTGATAACATGCAGCTCATAAACCTACCTTTTACTTTTTTTAAATGAGGAAAAGGTTGAAGGAGCTTTTTATTACACTCACCTACAAGAGTGAACATATCTGAGAGCATGCTAGCTTTGATCTTCAGGTCCAAAGGAGCATCACTATCCCCACATGCAACAGAGGACAAGAGGAACTATTTGTCTGGCATTAAATGAGAGGAATGCATCAATATGCAAGATATCTTCCAATACAGTTTCTTTGTATTGGTCCTTAACACAGACATAATCAACATGGGAGGAAAACTATGTGATTTTCACACACATAGGTAAAGACAAAACAGCAACAGATTAATCTGTTTCTGTTCATCCTTGTTCACAGCTTTAGTCTTCTAATGCAGCAATGTATGGCCTTGTTTTAGCTCTGCTTGGCTAGAAGCACTTTCTTTGAATGTACCTATGCTACGTTTCATGGAGTATATTGACATTGCTGCTGTAGAATTCTTAAAAACCACAATTACTTATGCCTCTTCCACATAAAATCATAAAATAGATGGGTTAGTTCTAATGGATGGGAACAAATGATTAGGGAAGGTGATAGACATGAAGAGGTCAGACAGTGGGGACAGATGGGAAGCATCCATAATTTTATCCAGCGGGAAAAAAAGTAATTAAAAAAAAAATCAATGAATACAGTTCAGATCAGACAGGCAAAGTCCGATTCCTTGGGAGCAGTGAAATCAGCCATCTTCTACAGCACAGTAATAGATGCCAACAGCTTGGACAAAGAAAATGGCAACCATAACAAAGCAGAGCAAAGGATGCAGATGTGAGTTAGAGTTTTAAGTAATACAGGATGCAAATAATTCAGTGTGTACATATGTGAGCACAAACCACTAAACCAGGAAATTAAATATTGTGGAAACATTCTAGTTGCACCTGAAAACAAAATGGGTACTATGGAAGCTAGAATTATGAACATGGTGTGAAAAAAATTTTTATGCAGGATAAAGAAGGAGGGAAAAAAAAGACAAAAATTAAGAGGAAGGTCAGATATGGCTATTCCAGGAACATATAACTTAAAGCTTGTTTATACTGCCATAACTGAAATATTACTCACAGTACTACAAAAGTGTATTGTGCATCTGTGCTCCTGTAAAGTTAAACAGTAGTCCAGCAAACGCATATAGTCGGAGATTTAAAGAAATAAATCCTCAAGCTTCATTAGAGTACGAGTGTCAGCATAAGGGCCAAGACAACACTCACTCTTTAGATTTTAGCTAAAGACAGTACCAGACCAAAAATTTGAGCCTGAGCATACATCTACGTAATCAAGTCAAACATAATGCCTGAACTCTGCTTGGACTCCAAAATCTTAAAGTTTCTACTCAGCCAAGCAGATTGAAAGCCCACACAATAGTCTGGAGAGTTTCAAAATTTATCTATGATGGGAGATTATGAAGTGTTAACAATGATGATGGACTGTGGAGGAGAAATAATTAAAAAGAAAATGGAAACCCAACTGGGTTCTTTCAAACCCTATTGCTGCAATAAGTTTGTTTATGCAAAGGGAAAAGCAAAGGATTATCCTCCCTCTCAATTAGCAGTGGAACAAATACTCTGCAGGCATCATGAAATCATGCCCTCCTAGGACCACAAGTTTCAAGGACAACCATCTCTAGCAACAGTCCCAGCCTCATATTAAACTGGGAATCGCTTACCAGGCCAATGATGGGGATAGGTTCACTTCCAACAGCCAGGGCTTGAGAGTGTCATCAATAAGGACATCAAAACCATACAGCTCTGAAAACACAGCAGACACTGTAAGTTTACCTTACTGCACCTTCAAACATTCAGATAAGGTCCAACATTAGTCTCTGTCAGGTCATTTCTATCTATATAATTTATGTTAAATCCAGTGAACTCTCTAAGACTGAACAAATAATAACATCCCACAAGTGGGAAATTTCACTTCCTCAGAAACAGGATTAAATATATTCTGTTTGTGGGGGGAAAAGGCAAGCAGAAAATGAGTCGTAGGAAAGAATTATATAAAAAAACTAAAGTCTTTGCGGTCCGCAAACTGCAGTTCATGCAGAACTCTACTACTTGTTTTCTGAATTTCTTGAATTGACACAAGCCCAGCAGGTCCAATCTACTTCTTCCATTGGATCCTGGAAACAACCAAACTTCATTCTCCCTTTCACTTTTTAATCCCTAAATTCACTGTTCCAGTCAGCTATAGAAAATCTTGCTTCTTTCAAGCATCAGCTTCTTTTCAATTATTGCTGTATGTTTTTCTGCAATATCCCCCCAGGAGTACAAAAGCCTTCTCCTCGGCAGCTCCCTCTACGTGAACAACCTCCCATAACTCTTGATCTTATTGACAGCTTGCCACTTTGCAGCAAACTACTATAGAAATACTTTTTCCTTAGTTTCTAAAACATTCATAACATATTACATCTGCTAGATGTGTTCTGCTCTACACAGGTCAGATTGAAGCCAGCTTCCCATTCCAAGACTGATTTTACTATTTCACTCTATACACACGTTCTCTATAGTTTGGAAAGATTTGCAAGAAAGATGCTACACAAAGACAATTGTAAATCAGAAGTTGGCATTAATGCAATTCCCTCTTCCAGCATTAAGAAATATAGTTAATGATCATCAGGGCAACTTATGCACATTTTTTCAAAACACTGCAGAACAGGGTATTGGCAGAGAAGAAGGATTTCCATGGAATTAACCAGTTCCCTAATGCCTGGACTGAAAGCAGGAGAATTTCTTTGCCATGCTGCTTTCCTTGAATTCTGGCCTTGGCCTTTTGTCGCCTGCCTGACGTTGATGCTGGCTCCGGGGAGCTGGACTGCTTGACAAGATCTTCCTATGCAGACAGCTGTGCGAAAGCTCATGTAGCTTATAATGGGAAGTTAATGAGCTGTGGGGGGGACTTGGAAGGGGAGGAAATGGCAGCAGAGTGAGTATTGCCTGCTCACTCTTCTAGACTGTGTAGCCAGACATTGAGTGGGAAGCAAAAGAGCAGAGAGTTAAGGAGTTGGTTCACTCCAAAGAAATGAGGCTGAATCTACATTTGGCTCTCTTGCTCCCCAGACAGGAAAGGCTGCAGTAGAGGGAAAAGGAGGAGGTGGGGATTACAAGTGTAAACATCAGCAAAGCATTTTGACCAGAAGAAACTTCTGATTATTTTAATACACTATTTCAAAATACAATCTCAGGTTTGGTGAAGACCTGTGACTCTTAATGGCATAGCAAACTCCAGTGGACAGGCAGCTCATGCCCAAAGCAGAGAAGCAATGAGTGGGCCTGTGGCAGCCGCTGGTCTGCAACCTCCCAACCCCAGCCAGGAAGCAGAGCATTTTGTTTTTACTAGCTGTTGCTTTTGCTGCTGGCCATTCCCTCCCTCTGCCCCTCAAAGGACCTTTGCTAGCATTTTGGCTCCCCTGACTTTGTCATCCTCTCTCACACTTTTCTCCCTTCCAAACTACTTGCTCTTTAAACCTCTCTCATTCCCATCCAGTCACTCACTCACTCCATCCACTTTTACAAATACATATGGGAAACCTCTTGACCTTAGCTAGCCCTGACCATGCTGCTGGTGCTTTACACTCCTTTCCCTTGTGTCTGCCTTGTTTATTAGGACAGAAAGCTCTTCACGGCATCCCTGTTGACTCAATTCCATTGTTAAACACAGACATCTAATGCCATCTGCAATGCCTTAGGGTCTCCTAGGAAGACTCCACTGCTGCTCCATAATGCCCCAAGCTTCATGTATTCTAGGTCATATCTACAACCCCTGGACAGATGTTTGCTACCTCAGGGCACCAGGAGTTACACAATATCCATGTTCTGGCAACAGAATCAAGCCTCACAGGTTCCCACATAGGGCTTAGCACAAAGGGGTTCTCAAGTCTGCCTGGGATACTAGGGCACAAACAGAAGATAAATTACCTGTGGTTTCAACTATCCTAGAAATATCTCCTTGGCCCTCTTCCACATTTGGAAAATGCAATACCTAGATTAAACACAGAAGAAGTATCCTTTCTACTATGAAACTCCACTATCATTTGTAAAAATAAATACACAGGCAGCAAAGATGTAGAATCACATGAGCACAGCAAGATCAGAAGTATATCCTCTGCAATTACCAACTTAAGCAAGCTTGTCATTTCACTCTATAGAGAGTAAAGAAAATAGAATGACAGAGAGAAACACATGCCTCAGGCTGTGGCAATGGTAGGTTTATGACAATCCACCTTGTACCACTATTGTTGTTAAGGGAAGAATATGAAGAAACTAAGATAGCAAGTTTCCACAGTGCCTTCCCTTGCTCCCCTCCTCTTGCTACTACAATCCACAAAAACATGTTTCACCCTTGACATTTGCTAAAGAGATTGGGATTATATCAGGAGGTACCAGCTGTTGCCAAGACTCAGCAGGAACAGCCTGCCTCTCCCCTCCAACCCCCATAGAGAAGTCACTGCTGACCGAGCTTTCCATCCTCCCAAGAGAAGGGCTAGCTTCAGACTGAAGTTTAACAGCAACAGTTCAGCCAGAGATTTTTTTTTTTTGCCAATGTCATTATTTAAGACTGAGGAAGGCTAGAGACATGGTCTCAAGCTTTTTGGTTCTGGTAAACTACCATGTATTCCAAGTTTGGTTTATAATCCTGTCAAAGACTGCACTGGCACTCCCTTTTAGAAAATCTCCCCAAAGAATTTGCTATTCTCCTTAAGTCTAGAAACCAAGTCACAAGTGATAGCCTGGTAGCGCAAACAACGTTTTCATGATTTTGCATAGAATGAATAAGCTCAGTTCCTAGAGGGTCACAGGTATTGCAGTCGTAATTCTAGTCTTTGTTTTCAGCTTGTTCACTGAACAAAAAAGAAGAAAGCTTTACTGCAAAGTACATAGTCTGCAACCGAATGGAGGCAACCTGAGGTTATGAAGGGACACATATACACTGAAAAAAAGCTGCACAGTATGCAACTCTTTTGCTTTTGCAATAAAAAATTATTTTCTCATTTTAAGCAGAAGCATATTTAAGGACATTCCTAATCCAAGGAACTACACCTGTGCCACTGAAATTCAAGTCTTCCCTTTTTCCTTCCTACTTCTTCTGTGCTTTATAAAGGAAGGAATCCTGCAGACCATGCTTATAGACAACTTGTATCAAGGAGCTTCAGTTAGAAAAGTTAATTGTGCTACAATTTCATCCAAAGCAGCAACCAGTCAGTGCAAGGGAGAAAAACTTCCAAGAGTATAGTGATGGACGTACTCCTTTGTTGAACATATTGCCAAACTTGAGGCTTCAGAGACTACATAGTATTTTGTAAATGAACTCCATTTTATCTAGTGATGGTACAGTACCTGCTTCAACTCTGGTAGAGCACATCTTAACAGTTATGGGGACATGAACACATCTACATCTTGGGGGCTATCACAACCAGGTCCCAAATTATTCCCATTACTCTACAAAAGGCCAACAAAACAGTTTAGGCTTTGATAGGCAAAAGGCCATACTCTGTCATATCAAGTAATAGAACAGAAGCTTCTACTTCGGACACCAAAGGCTTTGAGGAAAGTACTGGTACTGTAGTCTTATGCAGTAATTTGCCTTGCACTCCAAATAATACAGCTTAACTCCCTTTTTTAGAAAACTTTGTTTTATCAGAGAAAGGCTTTATCTCTCAGTGTTATTACAGGAAAGAACCCTACAAGAGGGGACAGAATTATTCCACATGTTAGTGTTCTTGTCTACCTCACAAGATGCAGCCTGCACCTGCCAGAGTTTGTCACACTAGCTTGGCCAAACTGCAATTACCTCATTTAGGGGCACTTTTTCCACAATAAGTAACCAGAGAAAGTCCATCACTTACTACCTCTCAACCTTTTTTTCCTTCTACTGGAGCCTGAAGGACACTTAGTCACATTCCCAATAAAGTCTTCAGAAATGGATTAATTTCAGGGTGCCTGTGTAGAATCATAGAGTGTCTTGAGTTGGAAGGGGCCCATAAGGATCATGAAGTCCAACTCCCTGCTCCTCGCAGGATTACCTAAAACCAAATCATATGACCAAGAGCATCGTCCAGATGCTCCTTGAACTCTGACAGGGTTGGTGCCCTCGAGGAGCCTGTTCCAGTGACCGACCACCCTCTCAGTGAAGAACCTTTTCCTAATGTCCAGTCTGAACTTCCCCTGACACAGCTTGATTCCATTTCCTCATGTCCTATCACTGGTCACCAGAGAGAGGAGATGAGCACCTCCCTCTCTGCTGCCCCTCTTGAGGAAGTTGTAGACTGCTATGAGATCACCCCTCAGCCTTCTCTTCTCCAAGCTGAAGAAGCCAAGTGACCTCAGCTGCTCCTTGTAAGTCTTGCCCTTGAGACCTTTCAACATCTTGGTTGCCCTCCTTCATAAACCACTACTTTCTTTGGTGAATGAAAGATTACAGTTGGACTCATCACCTGTACCAAAATCAGACTTGGAATCATCCTTCTATTCTGAAGTCAGAAAACCTAATAAGGCCATCTTCAAGGCTAACAGCAAAGAACAGGAGTCTTGATGCAAATTGGGCTGCCTTTATAAACCTAAATAATCACCCATGAAGGAGAAAGTTCTTCAACCCAGCATGTGAGATCATAGTGAGTGAAGAGGTTAACATCCCAATAACCACCTTTGGACATCACTTCCCTTATGCCACTGGGAAACAGCAGAGTAGATATGCTGCTACTTGTTCTTCAACAAACTTAGGTGGCCAAATTAAGAAAATGTAGTAGCAGGTAGATTAAAATAAAAGCCAGCAGACTCCATAGATACATGGGTACATGACGTGAAGGAGAAAGAGAGCATGTTTCCTGACTTCATTAGCCCAAGTTCTTCTGATTTCAAGCTCCTAAATCCCAACAACCTTAGGCCCAAACAAACTAAGAGACAATAACCTGGTCTTCCTCACTTCCATGTTCCCATCTATCTGCTAAAGACCTTAACATCACTACCAGAAACAATGAGAAGCCAGGGCTGATTCGGACTTTGGTAACACAAGTCCACTGATGATAAATTGACAATGCTGATCATTTCTTTATAGCTGGTTTTGGAAGACTTAATTCTTCCTAGGTCTGCCCCAGCACCCTGAAAAAGAAAACTGGTGCTACCAAGCTGAGAACAGCTTCCTAAAGAAACCAGAAAGCTTCTGCAGCAACAGATCCTGACTCTTTCAGCTCAGCTGTGGGTGTTAAGTCATGAACTATCAGTTAGGTACCATTTAGAGCTATGAAGTGACAAGTAAGGAAAACAGAGCAGAGATAAGACTCCTACAGGAGTTACCATTAGAACTATCCCTTGAACTCATTTTACCCTTCAGACTCAGCTGACAGCTTTGTTAAATTCTGAAGATATAGTTATATTACAAAACCTACCTTGGCACATTGGATCATCAAAAGACCTGTCCTGGAAGGTACAGAGCTCCTGAATCTGATGGTAGCCAGAGGGCTCTAAGGACAACCTTTTTCAGATTCAAAATCTGGCTTTAAAGCAAAGACTGACAGTAAGGATATAAAAATAGAATGGATTAAGCTTCGCAAAACCAACACAAGTGTAGGGAATACCTGTTCTGCTTTTCCTTGACATGTCATCTATGAAACCAGAAAACAACATAGGATATGCGTATTGTGTATGTATGGCTGACCTAAGTCTCTAAGCATGGACTCACCCATACTCATGTCAAGCAAGTCTGCACAGCAATTCCTTTAAAAATCTCAAAATTCTAGTGTCCTGCAAAATTCATTACGGAGCAGACCAGCACTGTTCAATACTAAAAAAGGCTACCATTCACCCAAACAGGTCAACTCCTACTACTACTAAAATTAAATGCTCATGAAGAGCAGCAACACAGATGGTTGAGAGAGGGTCATGAGATACAAATGAAGACTTTTTTTAAAGTGTTTAGCTCTAGGTCAGCACCACTCAAGTAGTACAATAGTTTATTGTTTGCTCCATACCATATTAACGTAGATGTGATTAGAAGCATAAGCCTGGCCAATTCAGCCTTAGCACACAGGAACAGCCAAGTAAGAAACTCATTGCTTTGATGGGATCAACAGGCCTATTATCATATCCTGCCTTCTTGATTGCAGAAGAACTCAACAGTGTCACAGCTGGGTTGACTAGAGCTGGGAATGAAACTGGGGACTTAAATCTATTGCTTCTTCAGGATCATGTTTCAGTGAGTACAGAAAATGGTGCTATATTGGATGCTGGCAAAAATATGTGCTGCACCTAGTTGCCTTCATTTCATCCCCTACTAAACCTTCCTACAGAGAGATTTTTCAGACTGTCTGAGAGCAAGTCTCACTACTTTTTCTAGCCTACCCAGAAGTGCTTACTCCAGGACTAATGCAGTCTTTAATTGGCTTGGGCACATGTACCCCTATCATACCTCCTGCTCCCACACTGAGATGTCATGTCCCTCACAGGCAGTGCAAAATCCAGTTTCTCTTAAAGAAGGCTCCAGAGGCAACCAACAACTCAACTGGTGACCAGCTTGAGGACAATGCAGTCGTTCAGAGTCCTGCAGCATGCCCTCCTCTGGGGCTACTGGTTAAGGCAATTTTTACTCGCAGCTTAATTTTACGTGAGGAATTATTAGCTAATCATAAAGAACAAAATAGAGGCTTGAGATCACATTGTTAATAACAATGCATGAACAAGGCTGCAACAAAATCATGTAGTACTTACACTACTTTGTGATGCACTTCAGACGATCAAAACTACTGAGCATCCCAAGTCCTCCGAGAACTGATGATTACTAGAATGCAGTAAACAGCTGACATAACATGGCCAAAAGGGGACTCACTACAATCTTTCCACAAATTGTCAGTAGCACTCCACTTTGACATTAGAAAAAGAATCATCCTGACCTACCACTCTCACTTTCTAGGCAAGCATGGGTAGCTGGAACCATACAGTCTCACAAGTCTTATTTTAGAACATGAAGAAGCCATGAATGGAGTCTCTTCCCTCAAATCTAGAAAACAAGTATATTACATTAAAAAAAAAATTTACTTGGGAAAGGAATGAAGGACCACAGCAGTGCTACACTGTTAGATAAATAAAATGGGCAACCTAATCTAGACAAATAAGTACTTGTGATTTAATTTTTAGCAAGAAGGTGGCAATTGTGCTGGAGTCCTATTCCCTGGAACAGCATTACTAAGACTAGAGTAGAATACACATTGTTAGTCATATTTTTCTAGAAGTTTTCCAAACAAGGCCTACCTCTGTATCTGAATCTCAGACACAGGTTTCTGAAGTCTGAGATACTTTTCAAATAATCAGTCTTTCTCAGGACACACATACAGTTTCATTGTTCACAGCCCAAAAAAAAAAAAAAAAAAAAAAAAAAAAGCAGCAAGCTCTTGGGAACCTCTGCATGCTGCCTTGAAATCTTCATTGCCAGTTTTCTCCCTCATGTTAACAGCTATGAACTCAGCCATTCTGAATGTTTCCAGCTAGAAAAACTGTCTTTTTTTACAACAGGGTTAAAAGTGGCACAACCAAGGAGTGTCAGAACAAGACACATGGATCAAGAATGAGCCATACAACATGACAAGGGCAGTTCAAATCCTTGGGACAAGGACCACCACTTAATTGTGGGGGGAAGGTGGCAGAAAGTACTGAGCTCTGGAAATGCCTCAAGCTCCCTAGGGAAGCAGTATGGCTCCTACTTAAGCTCTCTTTCCTGGGAAGCTCTTAATTTATGTTTACACTGAAATAAATGGAACAAAACAGTTTATTTGTGGGGGAGCATCTGAGAGGGTGGTTAGTGCAGCCCTGGGGAGGCAGCAGGAAGTGGGATAACCTCAGAGCCAGGCCCAGCAAAAAGTACATGAGGAACATTAGTTTCCACATACACAGCTCAGAAGAATCTAGAGACACAACTGAGGAAGGAAAAGGGAGAAGCAAAAAAAGAGGCAGTTAAAGTTTTTTTGTGTGTTTTTTTTTTAATCCAGTTGTTGATATTTCTGGAGTAGCTGATAAACTGCTACTTCACTAAAACTATTATCTAATTCATAAATACCCATGTATGCCAAGATTCTCCAGCTTTGAACAAAGGCATCAGAGTCAGTCAGGAGAAGCTAAGGCCAGAGAGGTAGCTAGTTTGGCAGGTAACTAAACAACATATCAACCATTGCTCCTCCTTGACTCTTGACTATCTCATCACACCCAAATATCCAAAGATGACAGCATTTACATTAGAGTATTGAAAGCTGCAGAATCATCAATATCCAAGTGCAATGCAAGGACCACACAAATGGATTTACATGTCACAGCTAGTTTAAATATAAATCCCAATACCCAAACATGGGATAGCTTAAGCCAAGCTTGGTCTTCGGTTTAAGCACTGACGGAGACTAATTCTAGACTCATTTCCCCTGTCCTGAAACTCCATCTTCATGCGTGTATACACATGAGCAAAGGGTGGCTAAGAGCAGGAGGAGGCCTCTTTAGGGAAGGTTGGGAAGCAGCCACTGGAAAGCGGGAGAAGGCACACTGTGGTACCAGCCACTGCTTTCTGGACCTCGTCCCAGCATCTGCTGCCAGTGAGTTCTCAAATACCTTTGCCAGCACACAGCTCTGCATCCAGCTTCTGCCAGAAATAGGCTTTGACGCCACCATGCGGTACTCTCACACAAGCACAAGCCCAGAAGCATTTACCACCACTGTCATTCCAGGGACTGCATTACACATTCCTCCCTAGACCTCAGATGCACGTAGGACAATAATCCAGAACCACATTGGGCTAGATGGCTCAACAGAAAATATTAAATATTCTAAAGAGATATTTAATAGTGGGTCGGTAATTTCAACTTTCCAGCACTTCCCCAGTTCCTTTTCAAGTTCCTTTTCATCATCCCATTTTCAAGCATGAGATTCTGATGAACAACACTGGCACATGGGCAACTGTGATTCAGCATCCCCTGCCCTCACAGAGGCCTATACGGAGGAAAAAACCCAGTATCTGGCTTCCTTGCAATAGGGAATGCACATTTCTCTGTAGCATCAGAAAGCTGGAAGTTTCAAACAGTACTCAAGAGCCAATCAACAAAGATGCCCCTAGTGCCTTACCAAAGCAGCTGCCACGATGTGAAAGAAAAGTTTTACAGGCTGTGGCTATGGCCAGCTCAGCAGAAACTACAGTCTTGATAATCAGGTCCTCCACGTTGGCCATCAGTGCTGGAAGGAGGGGAGGAAAAAAAAAAGTAGATTGTGAAGTAGCACACAATATCTAGAAAAGCATGAGAATATGCATATGGACAGATACCTTTGTGAATCAAAGCACATGAGAGCCTATGGATGACAAAGCAATGATGTTTGGAAATCCATGCAAGCTTAAGTATATAGATACATGCGTAAGTATCCTAGTGCAAAAATACTCACAAATGAGAGTGATAGAAGTGAGTACATGTACAGTGCAAGTAAGTGGAAACATGTGGCAAGCACATCAGCACAAGTCAGCTGGAGTCTGATCACACTCAGAGTATTAGGAAGGATTAAACAAGAGTGGGTTAGTGAGATAAGCCCTTAAACTACAGAGAATAAGCTATAGCCACTGAGATACAAAAAATTTTCTTGTGGACTTTTATGAGATAACTGTTCTGTGATGTTGCACCTTCCTCTAAAGCAGCTGTTCCCATACCATGATTCACAAATCATTTCAAAATTATATGACTGGTGACAGCTCTCAGTCCTGCTGACCTATAGATAATCTGCAGTTTCTGTAAGGAAGCTCTCTCTAGCTCCTGTATGAGCCTGTAAACAGAGCTCAGGAACAGGAATCTGAGCTGACAGAGGGAGCAAAAGGGAAAAAAAGATGCACATTAGATGTAGACCTGGATTCTACACTCGGCTTGGGATGTGTCATGCAATATAAAGAACACCACACTTAGTTCCTGTTTTCAACAACAAGGAATAGAGAAGCAAGAGGAGAAGGGAATGAACAAACACTGGAGTTGTAGCCTGAAAAGTTAGTAGGGATGATAGGACAGCCTTCCTCACCCCTCAAAGGGAGCACAAGCAAACACACAAGACCTCTAGCAAACCCACAGACATTTGGTATTCCCTATCCCAAAGAATATCTAGTACAAAGCACTTGACTAGAGAGTTCGATTTAGGTCTACAATTACTATTTCTCATGTTCAGATGACAACATGCAGGGACCTGAATAATTACAGAGTATAATGCAAGCAAATTCAGATGTGAACTTCTGTGCCAGAAGACCACTAAGTGGAAGCAACACAGCATGGGAATGTCTAAGTGCACATAAACTTCCCAGAGCACAAAACTTGCCAGCCCAGACAAGGCCAGCACTTTCCAGCCAGCATTCTGCCTCCGTATGACCAGAACCAGATGCATCAGAGAAAGGTGCAAGAAGCCTTGTAATGGATAGTTAGAGAAACCTGCTTACATTGCTGAGCAATTTACTTCATAATTAAGAGTGCATGTTTTATACTTCAGGTTGGGGTGGGGTGTGGAAATGTATCAATATAAGTAACTGCGTACACAGCTTACTGAAAACATATGGTGCAAGTAATTGGACAGCCATGTATGCGTATGATGGGGAAAAAGTCTACTTCCATCTGAAAGCCAGATTCAAACCCCTTCCTCCAACATCTAAGTGCACCCTGGCAACATTTGCAATATGGGCATAGCTGCTATGAGTAGTGTTACTGATGCCTCCATATCACAGGTATTTATTCCTTAAAGGATATACCTGGATTCTGCTCTTCAGATGCATTTACTCCCAGCAGACCTGGCAAAGCTGTGGAAGAGGGAGCTATTTTATATGAAACACAGACTGAAATGAAAACACCCAGCAAAAACCTGAGCCATGGAAAGATGACACCACATCCAAGAGTCATTCAAACTGGCACAGTTCTCCAGAGGTTGGTCACTCATCAGCCTGAACAGGCCATGGGAGCAGTAGAGGGAGGGAAGCTTTTAGAAGGAATGGAATGACCTTAAGAAACGGGAAATGTAGGTAAAATATTAAGAAACACACCCTGAGAAAGTCTCAGAATATTATTTGCAAAAGGGAAGGGGTAGGCCTCATCTCTGGGAATAGGACCCATCTCTGGCGATAGAGAATAAATGCACAGCTCTAGTGAGAAAGCTGTAAGGAACAATGCTTCCCTCCACCCTGCTCTGGTGCTAAATGGGACTCACGGGGGCTCTTCCCTGACTTCTTAGGATTCACACAAGTGAGATGATTAAGATTCAACAAAGGAATAAAAGAACAAGATCCGTACTGACCTGCAGTGTCTCTCCCCTCTTGTTTTAAGTACCTCAGCATTGCACTCATGCTCCACTTGTTTCCATAATCCTCTACTTCAGGATCATCACAGCTAAAAATAAATTAAAGAAACAAGTTGACACCACTGGCCTACCTCTATGGACTTGCACCAGCCTTAGACCAACCTAGGTAAATTGACCCAACCTCTAGAGATCAAGTTCCATTTTCCAGCCAAGTACCTGACATAATCTCCACTTTTCTTGTTGACACTGTAGTTGGTCAGATGCATGAACTGGTTTTTAATGTTCTTGGATGCCTGGTCATACCTCACTGTTGCAAACCTGTAAAGAAGGATAAAAATTCACAGTATTTCTTGAACAAGTGACATGCTTGCTAAATATGACCTACTACACAGACCACTCAACAACAGCAGCTAGGGAGAGAATGCATGTAATGAGACTTCATCAGATGCAACCTCTCCTCATAAAAAATACTGTTTATTCTCAAGGGCCACATCCAGGTGCATTTAGTCTCTTTTTCAGTGTCTTAGAGCAGGGAGCTCCATTTGTTCTCCTGGAAGTTTTCACAGCCTAACAGTGTACACATCATGCTAGGCACATTTTTTTCTCACCTGCTTAGACTTCTGGTCCTTGGGCATCCTGGCCAAACAGACCACTTTGCTTTAGACAGTCAGTGTTACAGTCTCCTCATTTTCACAATAGGGCCTACCATGAATACGCAAGATCCACTGGTCCTGGGAAATGCACACATTCAGAGCAATCATACTACATATGCATACCATAGTCAATATTTCCTGAAGTCTCATACAAGCACAGCTCAGTTCTCGTATACTCCAAGGATGCTTTAGGAAAGGCTGAAGATGAGAAGAGATTTCTGCCACCAACAACTACATAGCCTACAACTGCCTTCTCAAGAGGCATCCAGGAAACCAGGTACACCCTGCAGGCCAGACCAATTTGTCCAACAAGGTAGCATTTGCTCCAGGGTGCTGTCATTCTTGGGGACTATGCAGCCCTTCCATATCTCAAAGATGTCACCTAGCTGTGTACAAGGAAAGGGACTGTAGGGAAGATCACAATCAGGAGCAAGACACTGCTACAAGCTTACCTAGTCTCCATATGAATACTGTTACAGCCAACAATACCACAGTTAAATCAGCCTGTTTATTATGGAAACAGTGGTAACCTCCTGATTAAAAGGCATTACCTGTACTGTAACCAAGCACCCCATCACCACTCCCTTAGCCATACACTACTGTCACAGATGTTTGTGTTGAAATGAATCAAAGAATTGATCCAACTGAAAAATGAGCTTTTGGAGGATTTTGGGTTGTTAGGCATTTGAGGGATTTTTTTTTTTTTTTTCTTTTCAGTTTTGTGTTGGAGGGCCAGAGGGAACAGGATGTGAAAGGGAGAAGGGTATGAAAGGACAAAGGTAGAGCAGCTCCCTGATCCAGCTACAAAGTTGTAACTTGATTTCCCCCACCCCACCCTTCCAGTGGCCACACACACTTAAGCTATCCATACTCTTTCCTCAGCTATCCGCCTTCATTTTACCTGCACAATACCAGCACAAGAGTGTCTGTCCTGCACAGCAAGCCATCTAAAACCAGCCTTTTTTTGCTAAGCTGTTTATCAAATCAGATCAGTTCACTGCATGGGTACAGAAATGTTTGTGGTGACACAATACAATGGACATCACAAGCCCCTGAATGAGCACAAGAATACAGAACAAACTTGCACTGAAGCAATTTAAACAGTAATCTTATCAATAGCTCACCTCTTTAAGAGGTTAAATGAAGGCTGAAACAATATAAGCTTCTGGGGGAGTCGGAAGGACTTCCTGCAACCAACTGCTAGGACAGTTGCCCATGCTACCCCTCCATTCCACTTTGCACCCTGAAGCCAGAGGGAAACTGATCATGCCTGTGCCAGGAAAGGCAAGGGTCAACATGAGAACGGGAACAGCAGGCAGGAAGAGTGCAAGACTGTTTCTCTTGGTAGCCATCCCAATTTAAAGTGCTTAAAATTACATCTTGTGCAAAAGTTGCTTTCTAAATGTGTAGTTGCATGATCAGCCTTTGTCAATCTAAGGATGCACTGCAGCTGAAAGCTCATCAACTGCTCAGTTGCACACTCCAGCCACTCTCCTTGATCTCCTCCACAGATTACGTAGCCACAGGCAAGTCGAATCACTTCACAGATCTGACTGAACAGCCACTTGAGCAAATATAGAAAGATACCAATAAACTTTCAATCAGATGCAGGTATACCCTCTTTCAGACATAACAAAGGAGAGTGTTAGGATGCAGAGTCAGGACAGAAAGAGGGCAGTGCCTCCATTTTAGGAGCAGGTCACAAAACAACTTAAAAAAAAATAAAAATCAAACATCAAGCAGAGGATAATACTATCTGTGGCAACAATTGCAAAATCCTACATCCAGACAAGGACATGCTATCAAGTTAAATGTAATGCAATAAAATAATTCCAGTTGGGAGCTACAGTGATCATCTAGTCCAACTGTCATAATTTTCTTATTCTGCATGTAATCAATTCCTGTTTCAATATGTATTTTAGGCCTCAGACTTTGGAGAAAAATAAATAAAACAAAAGATCGAGGGCAGAATCCAGGGCATCTGGTTGGCAGAATGACTAGCATGAGCCACTGCTAAACACCACAGCTTGTAACAGCAAGCACGTTATAGTTCAAAAACACAGAACAACAACAAAAAAAAATCAACAAGAGAAAAAACACCTTGTTCTTCACCCTGGCCACCCTCCTATACCACAATAGCTTAAGATGCCAATGTCTCAAAAGAGATAAAGGGGAGTAAGAAAGGGTAAAGGCAAAGTCAGACATATGCTATCCTAAGAAGCCTTGGCAAGAGGGAAAGTACGTACCAAGGAAAGCAGGGTTACTTGCAAGAAAAGGAGAGCAGATTTGGGTGAAGCCTCAAAGCAAGAAAAGGGAGACAGCACTCAAGAAAAATGGAAGAGGGAGAAAGGGAAGGGAATTTGGAGCATCTGGCTGTGCAACAAAGTTAGTGTCCAGAAAAGAATGCATCCCCAATTTGCTTTATTAATAGTCATCTCTCTTCATCCTTCCCCTATTATTTTCCATAGCTGAGAAGCTGAACTATACAATGACATCTACAAGTTACACCAAAAAATCCTTCCTTTAGAAAGAACTGCCAAAAAAAAAAAAATTAAAACAAAGCCACTACTTCCCTCACTTAGTAGCCATTTTGAGAAATACCTTTCTCTCCACAAGAGCTATACCAGCAAATCCATGATGATGCTCATCAGATTAAATCTATCCTTAAATACACAGGTGGAGGAGGAAAAAAACCCAAACAACTCCATGATGTAACTAACTCTAAGCAGCAAGGTTAAAAAAGTGAATAAGATTTTGCACCATATTTTTCTGAGCTTTAACTACATATGAAGTCAAAGCAGCTGGCAACAGAAAAGAGTCTGGACATTTGGATCCCTCTCCACATATTTCCACAGCTTAAAGTATTTGAATTTCTTTTCAGTTTAACTGTAAGTATCCTGGATTTAGCACTTCTGTTTTGAAAATAGTGACAACAGCCCTATCATGTATTTTGTTCTTCATGATCTCCACTTCAACAATCATTTATTGGCAGCATACTGAAAGCATTTGTTGATAACATGCTTTCAGCCAGATCCTGGAAGATACTGAGCACAAGCAGCAAGCTATTTCACAAAGTCATGGCTCCCTCGATACTTTGAAGCAGAGGGCAATTAGGTTTACCATGCTTAGCAGCTTCTTACTTTTTTAATTATGTACATAATCAGAAATATGAGGATACAAACCCTTGGGAGATGTAGACAAGACTTCTAAAACAGCCGTATTTCTTTACCTTGCAATTGCTTGCATTAGCTTCCTTCTACAGAGACCATCCTTAATTGTTAGGTGGTCTGAGCTCCATGCCCATAGAATTCACATTTCCATGGGACTGATTATTCAGAAGGGATTTCTAGAGCTCTTAGTACATAAACTTTCTCTTCTACTAGGATGTTGTCATCTTAAGGGATATCATGGGCCAGATCAGCAATGCATCAAAAAAATACAAAACATTAAATTACTCAAATTTATTATCAAAACCCCTCAAGCTTTAAACAACAGAATCAAATGCCAGCTTAATACATTCTCCAAGAGCTGGTTTGACAGCCTTACTAGCCTCATGCTAAGTGCAAGTCTGCAAATGGAAAATCCAAGTTATTTCTAGAGCCTCTATCAATAGCCTCTGCATGTTAGAATGGTGACAGATCACAAGTACAATGCTGGCAATAGCCCACACCCCCTACACTGCGTCTCGCCCTTGCTTGCAATGGAAGAGCATTACTATCACTGAAATATCAGTTATGATTACCTTCAGTACTCTATAGTTCTACAGCTTTTCACACTATACTTCACTGTATCTTTCTTCCACTGTGGTAACAAGGCTACTCACCCACCACACTTGTGCTCCCCAGGAAAAGACAAGAGACTTGCATGCTACAGAATGTCTTACTTAACAGAAATTTTCAGATTATTTTTAGAGACACTAAGCCCATAGGAACAGGCCTTACAGTAAGAGTAGAAAATAGGAAAACTTCAGTGTTTGTAAAATCATCTAGGTGTTAAGCTGAGATTAGAATAAACACTTGAGAAATCTTACAATCTTTTAGATGATTATTTCATTTCAGGTTCCCCCTCTTTTCCAATTTCATTTCAGGTTCCCCCTCTTTTCCAATTTTGGGCCATGTCTAAGAATAGAATATTTGTCACCTGAAATATAAGGGTCAAGATCCTAAAAACAGTTTAGAACCTATATGGTAAGGTGGCAGAGAAAATAAAGGGCAAGCCTGATGTTTTCCCAGTAACACAATTTACCACAAGCACATGCTGCAACATTCTGCACGAGCTATTTTCCTAAGCACTAAAGGCTTCATGCCCAGGTATCTCATATTGCTATAATCCAGCCAAAGAGTGTTGAAGGCACAAATAACTGAGGCCAGGTCATCATCTGCCAGGACAGGACTTTCCTAGCCAAAGCATTACTCGTGGATGCTGCTATGTGGGAGCCTGCAATCAGCCAGGAATCCAAGAGCACTCCTAAGCTGGAGACTGAACTGTCCCCATGCGGAGGTGCATCTTCAGCCAAAAGATACTATTTTAACAAGTGAAACTTGTCAAAACGCTATCTTCTGCTCACTAACACCACCTCTTTCTTGCTCTGCTTCAAGCAGCTCTTATTTTCCCCCACTGTGATCTGATCCTGTGCAAGTTCTGGACTACTCCATAGGCTTTGCA